TGGTGGACGTTGAAAGAGAGCACCGCGCAATTTTTCCAAACCTTGCTTAACTTTGGCGACAGACTCAACAGCTGAATGCAGTTTAAATACAGCAACGTACTCTTTTCCAGCGCTCTGTTGTGATTTTGCCAAACGAGTGGTCCGGTCGATGCAAACAATGAGACAACCTGTGAATATGCAGGATTTTCTTTAATATTTTCCTATAAATCATCTCAATAAATCAGATGAAGTTAAGTTTGTTTTTACTCAGTAAGACCAATCGATAAAAATAATCACATTCAATCATTTAAAAAAAATAACGATGTTCATCATAACAAAAAAAAAATGATAATAACATACAAAAAAACCATGTAACAAACCTGTCACTTTAGGATCCAATGTGCCGGAGTGACCAGTTTTCTCGCATTTAAGAATGCGTTTAATCCATGCAACAATTTCATGTGAACTCGGATTCGATGGTTTATCCAAATTAATGTAACCATATTTAATGTATTCGCGAATATCACGGCACAATGGCGACGATCCAAATGGTAACGGTGTATAGTGATTCGTTCGAACATTCAATTTGTCAATATTTTTCAATAGCAATGGCCATTGGGATGAATCTAGTTGTGCTAGTTTTTCGGATGCTTTCAATTGAAGGGAGCCATTTGCCTGTAATTCACCCAAGTCTTCGACTGGCTCTTCTTTGATTTTCTTCTCCTTCTTCTTCTTTTCTTTACGAATTTCTGCAAAATAAATATTCTTTATCTTACTGTATGTTCGGGATTTTTTAAGGTTAGGTTAATTTAATTTAACGTTTTAATATAGAAATCAAGAAATAATTGAATTTTTTTTGAGGATTTTGAGTTAGAAATATTTCTTTCAATTCAAAAACAGTGATAAGTTCGATGGATTTCAATGAATTTTCAATTTTGAAGGAAATGTGTATAAAATGTGTGAATCGGTCAACCTCATGGTCTTTATGTGAATGAATTTATAATCTAAACTATATATTTTTGCTTCAAAATTGAATTACATTGAAATCCGTCAAACTTTTCACTGTTTTTAATTGTTGCACCTAAAATTCATGACATTTTATTGAATATTTTATTTTTTTTAAATAATTTTACCTGTATCAGCCATTATGCGGTGTGTCTCTTTTCACGAAAGATGTATTATATGAAACGGCGTTATCTATGTACCCCAGTGCACGTGTTTACGCACAATGTCTCAGTCTCGTTGTGATGACAGTGTAAAAATTGACTAGTGGCGCCACTATCTTTGAATTCATTTTTGGGCTAAACACTTTTCACCAAATCATATGTCACATGGTGTTGAATATCAAAACCAACACAAAAAAATACATCTCACGTCGATGATTAATAGACATTGACAGTTGAATGCCAAAACGAAGTATAGATTTTCTTATTATCTTATTATATGTGTCTCTCTCGTTGCCTACAATGGAAACATTTAATTTGTAGTGTGCAATTGAGAATATATATATATATATTTTTTTCTTAAATGGCCATACGTCTGCAGCGCATTTAAATTTCATTTTGTAAATTCATGCTACAGACTCACAACTTATTTTAATAAATGTAGTGTAGAAATCAATAAATTAGGGATCAATTCAGTCGATAAAGTTTGTATTTTTGCACAGATAAAAGGGTGAATAATTTTGTTGGTGAATGTGTGTCTATAAGTTTGTTTTTTGATGTATTGAAAATATACATAGTGCAAAGCCCAAAAAGTGTGTGTAATCAATAATTTTTGTTACTTCGTTTTTATTATTATCAAATCGATTTGGACTGAATTGAAATAAATGACATTTCTTTTGAAATTTTGCAAACGGTTGTGGAAGAAATAAGAAATATAAACGTTTGTTGTTGGTGTTTAGTGTTTCGAAGTATTTATTTTCGTCTCAATGAATACGGACGAATTGCTTGTGCAATTGGATTTCGATGAAACCAATGTGAATCACCAATCGCCCCAACAACAACATCAACACAACAACTCAATTGAGAATACAAAACGAACACATTTGCAACGACCTTTGTCGCCACCAATAAATACATCCGAACCAATTTTGTCGATTGGTGAATTTCTGTTACCAGATAACGATAAACCAAATGATGCCCTCAATACACAGCATCAACATCACCACAGGCGTGCATTTAGCGATGACAATGCATTGGTGACAGTGACACAAACGATAGAACAACCACATTCCAATTTAAAAACACAACTAACCGAAAATCACAGCTTAATTAATATATCGAGATCTCCATCGCTGGCGGCAACAGCAGACGACGACGACGACGACGACGACTACGATCGAATTGGTCATTTGGAGCCAACAACTCAAGTTATCACAACGAACGGCGAAGGACCCAGCCAAATTCATCATATCGACGATACCGTTGAAGTAAGCCTGTTAGCTGATTTAAGTATGGATAGCCGAGAATCACAACCATTATTGGGCATTGGACGTGATACACATGATTTTGTCTACAATAATTTTCCAGGTGAGGAAAGGATTTTCTTAAATCTAATAAGTATCAAATTCTTTAGCCAAAGATATTCGAGGGTATTCAATCTAATTACATTTTCATTATTCTTTCATCGCTTGGCACTAAGTGAGATAATGTTATACATTTTTTTACTCTGTACGTAACTTATCTTATCTTTAACTGGTGACTATTGGCTTTATAAGGCATGTGTGTGTCGCATGTAAACAAAAATAAAGCCACTTTTTCTAAGAGCATCTATTTTCTTTCAATCTGGCTCAATAGAAGAAAAAAATGTTGATTAGAATAGATCCGAATATGAACTTGAATTCAGTTCATCCAATTGCTTGGCGAAAGCCGGTTGCACAAGTAATTGATCATCATCATCATTTGAATTCCCTCGTTGTAGTTGCATAGCAAATGCCATTGAATTTTATCTGACTCATTTTGAGAAAGAAACAAGTTTCTGTCTTTGTAGTTGTACAATAATGGTTGTTATTAGTCTCGTGGCGTATATGAAAAATCGACGAATCGGTTCGACGTATCCCAGCATAGATGCTAAGCCAGATTCAAAAGTCAAAAAGACATTTCGTAAAATTCGTGAAGCGTTTGTGCAAAAATGCATAATCATATTCAATTCAGTGCCATTCATTCACCCAAGAGCTTCTACGGGATTGATAAATATCATCGAACTTCAGGGTATGTTTTGGACTTTTCTATAGAGCTATTGTTATTAATAGAAGTTTTGTGTTGAGCGTGTTGAACCGTTGAAGAGAAAACTAAAACCATTTGGAAAAAAATAACTTCATCACTGATTCAGCACATATAACAAGAGCATTAAACTGACTTTAGTCAGAAGTATAATTAGTAATTTCAACAACATTTTAAAATCCGCTTTCACTGTTTTCAGTTGCGGAAGTCCTTATCTTTCCGACACCTTAATAATCCCAAAAATTCTATTAAAAGCCAAAAAGTTTCAATCGCAGCATTATTTATAGTTTATTACCATCTTTATCAGCTGAAAATACATGTACATAATTAAATTTAACTTCTAAAAAAATTCTGAAAGTTTCCATATAGATTAAAAAGTAAGCGATAATTCCAATAAATTAACAGACCCATCATCTCCTTTCATATTTCGGACATCAATGCAGCGGCATTTCTTTAGCAACATTTCTGCAGTATCACAAACTGTTACTTTATCATTTTTTTGTAATTACTTATTTGGTTTATTCATAAGTATGCGTTTTTAGCTCTTTCTTGAGTTCAGTTTTGCTGAAGTTGTAAAGATCAAGTTGATATCGTTTTTATACACCCTGTCAAATTGTTATTTTGCCTACATTATCACGAGATACTGCTAATTTATTTAGACTGATTTGACCAGAAAAAAAATTAGAAACGAAAATTTTGCTAAGTCAAAGTCATGGCCATTAAACGTTTTAGTTAGAGATACGTCGATCAAATTATTTTTGAAAGATAATAAATGCTTTTTTTTCGCTTTCAATTGTTCTGGCATACAATATGAGTTTGAAATGCTATGTACCAAATGAATCATTGTGTCAGAAAATAAAATCTAACTAATCTCTCCGTTGACCCTGTAATAAAATCATCATAAAAATATGTTTTGTTTGCTGCATCTTTTGGTGACCGCATCTTGTGCTTATGTTTTTTTTTTTAATTTTATCTCGTCGAAGCTTGGTTTAGTCGACAAAAATAAAATGCCACATGAAAAATATTAGAAATGCTATGGAATAACAAAAAAAGTGTTTTTTTGCTTTTGGCCATTTAACACTGTTGGTTTTTTTTGTCACAAGATATGGAAAAGTTTTTGTGGACGACACTTGTTGTTATTACATCCCACACCAGAACATTCGACGATAATAATTACTTTACAGAGTTGTTAGTTGTCAAGGGAAAGGTTATAAATTATAAAAAAAACCATGACACTAAAGTAGTAACTTGTCATAAAGTGAGCAGAGCCAAACGCATTTACGTGGTTTTGCAAGTCATAACGTTGGAATTGACTTGTTCAATACTCTGTTCGGTCGCTCCTTGAAAATATCATAAAAAAGAAAGAATTTTCATTCTATGGATTCTAATATGTGGACAATATGCGACGAAAAGCACATTCAAGCATCAATTTCTGTCAGTCTATGTATTTCGGATGGATATCCATCCGAGATATTTTAGAATATCTGGATATTTAACGCAACTGCACAGAGCCAGAGCTGTGTGCGTCGCACATATAATCTACGGTATGTCGCTACACGTAAAATACAGACACAGTGTGACTGTGTACGTGCGACACTTGATACACATATACGTCGCGACATACCGTAGATTCTATTTGCGATGCACGCAGCTCTGGCGCTGTGCAGTTGCGTTGAATATCCAGATATTCTAAAATATCTCGGATGGATATCCATCCGAAATACATAGACTGATTTCTGTAATAAGATATCTTCATCGAATGCTACACACAATTTCAAAGACTTCAAACGCGATATGTCTCACGTTAGATATGAAAAGGATAAGACAAAAGGAATAACATGAAAATCCCCCTAACTCCTTGACTATTTCGCATAAAAGAAAAATCAATACTTGAAGTTAGATTCAGTTTGAATAAGAGAGCGAGCCGTTCATATTCAGGAAGCCATTTAAAATGCAAATGCCACATAGGCTTTTGAACTTTTATACGTACAGTTAGACAATGGTGGTTGAATGAAAGTGTGAAAATTTGCATACACAAAGGAAAACTCACTGTCAGTTGAATGGCCGGTGTGTGTACGATAAGTGCAATGTACGTCTTGTTCAAATGAAGTGTTGGTTTTTAATTAACCAACGTTACTTGTGAAATAACAACAAAATACACATATGTTTTATTTTAACATTCACCTATACCGTATGTCGAAACCATCTTTTCGTGGAGTGGTCGATTTTTAACAAAAAAAAAATACAGACTCACAACGAATATATTGCGGTTTTCAACGACAGAACAGACGATATTGTGATTGTTTTATTTGCCAAACGTGCTGCAAATAATTCCGATAACACTCCATTCCACATATTGTTTTATCGATTGCATGAATTTTACTCAACCCAATCCATCGTATTATTTAGTCGCTGTCATTTCCAATAATTCGTTCATTTTTCCAACACAATCGTTTTCTCACACTCATCAATACTTCATTCACATCGTTCAGCCCCAGTCATCGAAAAAAAGCAAACACATTGAGAGCGTCATCGTACATAATGTTCGTCAAGAAATCAACGGGCTACGTGTACAATCCTTTAACAAACGACTCTCATTCGATCTATTCTTGTCGATAGTTTAAGATTTCCCATTCTTACATTCGTTGCATCAAAACAGTTGAAAATTGAGTGAGTGCGTGACACACTGGGTATATTAAATAGTTGACTCATTTGCATTATTTTTTTTTTGTGTATATTTACGATCAATTTTGTATATTGTGAGTTGGCATCACAGATATACATAAATGTTCAATGGTGTAGCCGCGCATTAAAACCAACGAAACACACACGATGTACAAACAAATTGGCGAACGATTGTGGTCTTTGAGTTAAAGTGAATTTGATGTTTTTTTTTCGGTGACAAGGTCACTGTCAAAAGTGATCTGGTTTCAAGTGCGCGACATTCGAAAGGCACGCGATACTTTCACATACATTTTTTAAGATTTTATCGAAAAGAAATTTTTTTATAAAGCATATTTCAAAGGATTTATCGTAAGAAACTCTGAACACTTACGTTTTTTTTAAATTGCAAATTAAATTTAATAAGAAATTGGAATTTACGACAAAATGTCATTGTTTTTTGTGCCTGTGAAATCACCTGTGCAAATTAAATGTAAACCATTCGTACACCTTAAAATTGAAAATAAACCGTGATGATTCTCAATTTAGTGCCACTTGGAAAATGAATTAATTGTTTTAGTTTTAATGCACGCAATTCATTCAATTTACATATAGACAACGAAACATTTCACCTACTTAGATTAAACATTTCCGCTGATTTATCGCAAAACCTTTAAATTATTTCCTCCACGCTCTCTTCAATTTTAATTCGTTATTTCCAAAATGTCAGATAGCAACGACGAACAACGCAACCATAAACATACAAATCGCACATAGACTATAGAGTAATTACTTACACGGTCATCAATTTGCATAGAAACCCATACATGCACCCCTCTTCGGTCTGTGCTTCTATTAGTACAAAATAAATTGCGTTTTTTGTCTGACTTGTCTAGAAGTTTGTTTGAATTTATGTGAATATTTTGCTGAGCTGTATCACTTAGTTCACCTCTTTTGCATAAACAAAATGATACATTTTGCGCTCTATTTGAACTGTTTTTAAGGCATCATTGAATAGGAATTGTTCCACAATTTGTCGATGAATTTATTTAAATTTTCCCCGGAATATTTAATGCAAAAAAAATGTGTTTGTGTGGGGGTATCGATTTTTTTTTATTCAATGAGAAAGCAATGTGAAAATTATTCGCAAAAAATAATAATAATAATTTGCTTTTACCATCGAAAAAGACATTGTTGCCAAATATACCTGAAAAACTTTGAAAATAGAACAAAAACAAATAACCAACCAAACTAAATAAATGTTTAAAAAAAACGAAGTGAGTCATACTGAAATAAACAATAAACAAATTGAAAACAAACAATGGCATTGGTCTCTTGCGAAGTCGTTTAAATGCGTGCCATTCATGAATGTACATTGATTTTGTTGACTTGTAAAATGAATGGGCTGATAACTGTGGTTTCAGCCAACAATTTACTAAATACGACATAAATCGATTCGCTTGACTTGGATTTGTAATTTTAAAAATAAACGTCAGTCACATCGTATTTAGTGCACTTAAACATTTCTGTCGCATGGTTTGTGCTTATTTTTGTGGCAGTTTTCATATATTTACGACCATCGAATAAAATAAAAATTAGCGATTTATCCACCAGAAAAATGACTGAAATTTACACGATATTCAATCACTGTTATGACTATGGTAACTTTGAGCTATTGAATTTACATTTATATATTTCATGTGATAGTTCAATGTAATTTGATTAGTTTATTGATTTACTTTATTTTGTGGTTTTTCTAGATGATCCGCAATTCAATGAGCTGGTTTCACAAGCCGAGATGGCGATTGAGCACGGCATTTATCCGGAGCGTATCTACCAAGGTAGCAGCGGATCATATTTCGTGAAAAATACAGCCGGGGTATGTATTCGAATTTTTTTTGTTTAAATCAACTTTCACCGCGAAATATTACACCAAATGCTTCTAAAAGACAGAGTAAAATACATTTGATTTCTTAATTTACAATTGAACTGCATACATACAAATGTAGTTTACTTCAAGTTTTTATTTGGAAGTATAAAAATGAGCTCGTCAACATTGTTGGAAGAGATTTAAAATCAGTCTTTCGTCGATGCGTATGTAATGAGCGAGAGAAAAATGAATTGATTTTTTCACGGGAATGCATTGTCTATGTCAAGTATATCCATTGCATTTTGGTAGAAATCAAACAAAATTACTTTTCAAATAACTGACAAATTAATGTAAAATGTTTGGATATTTATAATTTACATTTTAATTTACTCAATTTCTTCTTCAGAAAGTTATTGCCGTGTTTAAGCCCAAAGATGAAGAACCATACGGTCGATTGAATCCCAAATGGATGAAATGGATGCATAAGCTGTGTTGCCCATGTTGTTTTGGACGTTCATGTTTAATGCCGAATCAGGGGTACATTTCAGTAACATTTTCAATGCGATTAAGCAATTTTAATTCATTTTGATTTATTTTTTAGATATTTATCAGAAGCGGGTGCCAGTTTAGTTGACCAAAAATTGAAATTGAATATTGTGCCGAAGACACGTGTTGTTCGATTAGTATCTGAAACATTCAATTATCCGCGAATCGATCGTCAAAAGGCCAAATTAAAGAAAACCATCAAAGAACATTACCCATCTGCTCGATTCAATCGAATGAGCTTACCTCCAAAGGTACACATTGTCTCTGTTACTCTCTCTCTATAAATATATTAACCTAACTTTATTGCATTTTACAAATCGTATTTAGACTGGTTCGTTTCAACTATTTGTGAATGGTTACAAAGATGCTGATTACTGGTTGCGTCGTTTTGAACAAGAGCCTCTACCGCAAAAAGTTCTTGACAGTTTTCAACTGGAATTTGAAAAGTTAGTCGTTTTAGATTATATAATACGAAACACAGATCGCGGCAATGATAATTGGTTGATTCGTTACGAACAACCAAAATTGAAGAACCTAAGTCGAAGCCAGCAATCAAAATCAGCATCAATATCGTCATCTCAGTCGTCATCGAAAGTACCGTTGCGAAATCACTACATTCATCCGATTACCGTGGATGATCAAATGCATGATCTACCATTAGATGATGATTTCAATGGTGGTATGTCATCAGGCAGCAATAAATCATCGGATAGTGCAATTAGTGTACATTCAAATAACGAACTGACAACGGGTGCATCATCGAGTGGCATCGCTCAAATGTCCGATGATCAAAAAATACAAAATTTCATGGAAAATGATTGGCACATGGTTCAATTGCCCAAACTTGAAATTGCGGCCATTGACAATGGATTGGCCTTTCCATTCAAACATCCCGACTCATGGCGCGCATATCCGTATCATTGGGCTTGGTTGTCACAAGCAAAGATTCCATTCTCAAACGCCATAAAAAATCATGTGCTCCCATTGTTATCCGACATGAATTTCGTTGAAGAATTGTGCAGTGATTTGTATGAATTGTTTAAACAGGACAAGGGTTTCGATAAGCGTTTATTTGAACGACAAATGGCTGTGATGCGCGGACAAATTTTGAATTTAACACAAGCACTCAAAGATAATAAAAGTCCGGTACAATTGGTCCAAATGCCAGCAGTGATTGTTGAAAGGTATGTTTGAACTTCAAACTATTAATCGTACATCATTGTTAAGATTGAATTTTTTTTTTTTTTTCTTAATTTAAATTACAGATCGCGAACATCTTCCAGTCGATTTTCATCGTTTACACAACGGTTCCAAAGTAAAAGTCCGTTTTTCTCATGGTGTTGAGGAAACACATCGATTCATCAATGAAAACCATCATCATCAACATCATCTCGCTGGCATATTTTTCTACAATAAACATATTTCAGTGTTGTTGAATCACCAATCTTTGATTCGCCAAAATATATTCAAAACATCACCGATATTTGGACGATGGAAACAGTTATCAACTATTTTTGTTTTTCGTTTTGTTCGATACACCATTCTACTATATTTTCTATAAAACCAGTGTTTTTGTCACCACTTCGTTTTTGTTGTGTAAAAATCCCACTTCTATTTCATAACCTTTAGCAAAGACATTGGGCTTCTAGCATTAAATAAAACTTAATTTTTCCTTGCTTTGCTCAACAAATCAAAAAGATTAAACAAAATATGCTCTCAGATTGGGAATAAACTAATTCAAATAATTTATGTAAATATTGAACTTTTATGTTTTATTGTTTTTTTAATTATAAATGATATACATTATCTTGTAAATTGAAAGAATATACCTTTACTTAATCTAAATCAAAATAAAATTGAAGATGATATTTTGAACGATTAAAATAGCCGATAACGATATCATACATTTGATTTCGACAATGGCATTATAGTGTAGGTATACATAAAAAAGCCAAAAATTATTATTATTATCATTAATATTTAAATTGATTAGTTCGTCATATCCACAACCAAACAATAACGCTTCAATAAATGGAGCAACAAAGTGATTCGAAAAGATTTTAAAACAACAATGAACAGTGACTTGATAGATATTTATCCCTCTCCCGAATGAGTGCAGCAAAGATGAAATTTGCTGCTCTTGACCAACTGTAGATCAGCGCATCCTAATGATATAAAATACAAAAATACACAAACAATACAAATATTAAAAGAAACCGGTACAATTCGAATTTTAGGTCGATTATAAAATTATATCATTTATTCCTAAATAAAATGATTATATGAATATAACATATGTTTGATTTTTTTATCAGTTTCATTACCTAAACATGGTTAATTCCAAAAGGGATTCATGTGTGTGTTTCTTTCGAGTTGGTGGCTGAAATATGGTACCGCTGGAAAGATTTTGATAACACGGATTTAAAAAAAAAAACTGGAATTCGTTATCTTTTCGTTGGGAAAATGGTGAAAATAATCTTGTGTTCAACACCAACCAACGGGACCCCAAAAAATGTAGCGAAGAAAGTTTTGTTTGATCGTAAAAACAGAACGTTTATTTTTTTGAATTACATTGCCAGTTGTATCTCTGCTATATTTACTGATACTGGCCGAACTGACCGATCGAATTTTTGCTTATCGAGTCAAATCATTCCATGACTGGAACATGTCAATGCAACGTGCCATACAAAATCCATTGTTTTTTTCTAGAGTAGCACAAAAGTCACAAGGACTCACTGCCGTTATTTTAACCTATAATCGAATTGAAAGCCTTTTCAAACTCATTCAAAAACTGTCGGTTGTTATGTCATTGCAAAAAATTCTAGTCGTTTGGAATAACGAGCGAACAGTTCGCTTCCGTCTGGTTTTCCAAGCCGAACTCATATTTGGGAAATTTGGAATATCAATGGTATTAACTGGAGCTATGCGTACACAAATCAAATGCCAGTCGAAATAAAGGAATGGGTCGATGATCACATGAATTGTGAAGATATTGCGATAAATTTCTTGGTTGCGAATTTCATAAAAAAACTACCGATCAAAGTCATCAAAGGCACCACGCAAAAAAATCAAGTGCCCAGAATGCACAAATACCGAAATGCTATCAGCCGACATAAATCATATGATGAATGAATGGTCAGCATGTATCGATCACTTCGACAAAGTATATGGCGGCATACCACTTAAAACAGTCGAATTTCGTGCTGATCCAGTATTATACAAAGATAATTTCTCCGAAAAATTCAATGACGTCGGAAGTCTCTAAACGTACAATTATATTTGACATAATTGTTCGATTGCAACAACAACACACACCAAAAAAGTCAACAAATTGCCAATTGTATCTTATTAAATTAGTGCTATATGTCTATTTAAAAGACTGATCAAAATGTTCCAATAAACATATTTGAAAAGAAAATTTTGAACTTTTATATATAAATAGTACGAACTTTGTTGAAAAGTCTATTTGTAAAATTGAATAAACATTTTAATAAAAAAAAAAAAATAATTAAAATGAAAAATATTGTCGAAATGCTAGTATGGGTAGCGCCATCTGTTGTTTATTTAAATGACAATCGAAAACTTTGCCACCGCTGTCGTGTTGCCACAGTAGTAGGAAAAGAAAAAAAAAGAGCTGTACTCAATACAACTACACACGAGTGCAAAGAAGATATACGATAGAGTGTACGTACAAACGAACGTTAGTGTAAGAAGGTCAACTGTATGTTTTCAATTGCATATAGAGAAGTGGAACAATCGTGTGAAACGCATACAGCCAAGAACTCGTTTCTCTGACGAATAGATCACGCAAAATATTCAAAGAGTCATTGTACAAAATTTCTTCTTTTCACATTCACAATCGTTCCCATCATACATTTCTTTTTACACACGCAGTGAATATATCATGAACAAAGAATATTCGTTTAATATATTGTAGTGTTTATCATCGTTTTTTTTATCTTAACGAAAACATAATAAAATATTTGACAAGTTTTCGGAGAAAATATTGATCACCAAAAAAAATCAAGTGAAAGAAGTTTAGTAACATTAGACAAAGAGCACAGTGAACACTCCAATGAAAATGGAGACTGACTACTTTGTCGAATCCAATACAAATTCATCTGTACAGGTAATGTATATGGCAAATGAAAATTCAATTTTTGCTTGAGGTGATTTGTGTCTACCACTGCATACAGTTATTGTTGTTGTGGTTGCAAGTGATTTGTGTACGTACGCTCAATTTGACCGACTTGTTTTTATGTTATTCCTTATTCACTCAGAGTTAAACTTTACTCTTGTCAAACTTGTTTGATCGTTTTGTTGTTGCTGCTGCTAACAACTAAGTCTATTAACAACAACATAAAATGTACTCTTCATTGAAAAGTTTGTGCATAAATTGAAATTGTTTGCCAAAGGGTTGATTGAGCGAGAGAGAACGACATTCAATTAATTATATTGTTTGTAAATAATTATTTGTATATAAAATAAGTTTCTTCTGTCCATTGAAATGATGTATTGATTTAAAATTGAAATTGAAAATGTGTATTGTAATTGCAATTTAACTTTTGAATATGTAGGAAATGCGAACCATTGTCTCTTGCACACACACACAACTCTACAATCAATTTATAGTGTACTTTGGACAAAATTATTTGGTTCGGTTCATATTCAGTCAGCCACCTTTATTGGTAACTGTCTCTGTCAAGTAAAATGTTTTTGAAATCAATTACAAGTTTTTGATTTCTCTTCTAAATTACTCAATTTTCGACCTTGTTTTCATACATTTTTTTACATTCGTTCATCCACATTGGTATCCGTGTTCGTGGTGTATTTTAAGTGAATGGAAACAAAATTATACAAAATTGGAACTAGCAATTAAAATGGAAGAATGAAAAATCAATATTTATGATTAATGAAATAGTTTTCTCGTTAGATTCTGTTTTGGTTTTCCATTATCAATCATATCAAATTATTTAAAGAGAGTTTTTTTATTCGCCGTATCAAAATAATCCATACATTTAATTTTTTTTATTTGATTTTATAGTTTACATCATTATATGAGCCGGGCAGAGTGAAAAAGGAGCCATCGCCAACGTTTCAAAGTGAACGTGACTCATGTTTAGAATTTTTTAATAAATGGAACGAATCGGATCAGGTGGATTTCGTAGAACAGCTATTAGCTCGTATGTGTCATTACCAGCATGGCCACATAAATGCCTATCTGAAACCGATGTTACAAAGGGACTTTATCTCATTGCTGCCGAGTAAGTTTTTTTTCCTTGCATTTTACTTGTCATTGTTGAACACATTTCTGCATATTTTGACACTGTCTGAATCATGGAATTAAAAAAATTATTCAAAATGTATGGATTTACTTGCAGAAAAAGGATTAGATCACATTGCGGAAAGTATACTATCGTATTTGGATGCAGATTCATTGAAAGCGGCCGAATTAGTGTGTAAAGAATGGTTACGCGTTATTTCCGAAGGAATGCTATGGAAGAAATTGATCGAGCGTAGGGTGCGAACGGATTTATTATGGCGTGGTTTATCCGAGCGTCGCGAATGGATTCAGTATTTGTTCAAACCACGACCAGGTACAACACATCCGCAACATCCATTTTATCGATCACTCTATCCGAAAATTATGAACGATATCGAAAGCATAGAAAACAATTGGCGTAATGGTCAACACATGCTTAAGCGAATCAACTGCCGTTCAGAAAATTCAAAGGGTGTCTATTGTTTGCAATATGACGAAAATAAAATCGTATCGGGTTTACGTGATAATACAATAAAAGTATGGGATCGCAGCGATTTAAAGTGTATTAAAACGCTAACCGGACACACTGGTTCAGTGTTATGCTTGCAGTACGATGATAAAGTAATTATCAGTGGCTCAAGCGATTCGACTGTTCGCGTCTGGGATGTTGTATCCGGTGGAATGGTCAACACATTACTTCACCATTGTGAGGCTGTGCTGCATTTACGCTTCAATAATGGCATGATGGTTACTTGCTCAAAGGTAAAAATTTCCATTCAATTAGATAAAAAGAAAATTATCATTAAATAACGTTAATCTATTAAAATAAAACAAAATTCACTAAATAGGATCGCTCAATCGCTGTATGGGACATGACATCACCAAACGAAATTACATTACGAAGACTTTTAGTTGGCCATAGAGCCGCTGTAAATGTCGTTGACTTTGATGAAAAATACATTGTATCAGCGTCGGGTGATCGAACAATTAAAGTTTGGAACACATCAAATTGTGAATTCGTCCGCACATTAAATGGTCACAAACGTGGCATCGCTTGTTTACAATACCGTGATCGTCTGGTGGTCAGCGGGAGTTCCGATAATTCGATTCGGTATGAACAAAATACACATCCTTTATATTCGAATGGTATTTCCATACATTCTGTTCATTGTATTTTTTAGCCTTTGGGATATTGAATGTGGCATATGCCTGAGAGTGCTTGAAGGTCACGAAGAGCTCGTTCGTTGCATTCGGTTCGATTCAAAGCGCATCGTTAGTGGTGCATACGATGGTAAAATCAAAGTATGGGATCTTGTTGCTGCCCTGGATCCACGTACTCCGGCTAGCGCTTTATGCTTAAAAACATTAGAGGTAATTTGTCCATAAATTGAAAAACAATGATTGCTTGCCAACATGAAGTGCATTTCATAATCTAACAAATACTTTTTTGCTTTTGCATTAAACATACAGGAACATACAGGAAGAGTGTTTCGTTTACAATTTGACGAATTCGAAATTGTGAGCAGTTCACATGATGACACCATATTGATATGGGACTTTTTGAACTACACACCGCCCGAACGTGCAGTTGAAGCCAGACGATCACCATCACGTATGTTAATTTTTGTTAAACCTTTGACAGCTTTCTTGAACGCTTATTTTACGAATTCTAATTTCTGTTGTTTTTATCATTATCATATAGCTGCTCTGATGGAGCATTAACGGCTTCTATTGTCGCCAATTTCTTAGTTATCTAAATTTTAAGAGAAAATAAATACTTCATAGGATCTATGCGACCATGGATGATGATCCAAATATTCAGATGTTTGCCAGAAGGTAAAACAACTGTTTTTCCAATGAATGCTTACATTATTTTTAATTGCTTTCGTTAATTATAATTTTTCTTTGATTTAGTTGATGTGAGATGCTGATTAAAACGGTACTTCTGGTTCCAATGACAATGCAATTTTATATTGCTACATAAAACAAGATTAGAATATGATTCCAAATCAACCGAAACATAAACACATCCGCTGTAGCCGTCAGCAATAAAACATTTAGCAGAGAGTAGGCAATAGAAAAAACAAAAAAAAACGCAGAAAAAAATATGTTTAAATATATTGTCGAAAATCGGAAGAAATTTTACTCAATATAATCGATTAAATAGAACAGATTTCATTGTGAAATATTTTATCAATAACTTAAATTTCGAGCTCGTATTCTTACGCGCAATTGTAATAAAATTGTAATCGTGTTTTTTGCTCACAGTTCTTAACAGTTTCAATCGTCAGTATAATATTATTCATAACCAAATGCAGTTTGATAGTTTTAGGGACATAAGAATGATAGTGATGTTTAAATTCGGAAAAAATTCAAATCTATAATACAATATTTCCCAACTCGATGCATCATATACAACATACATACATACATACACACAAACATACATATACATACATTCATGTAACATCGTTCGAAGAAAAGAGCCACCAAATGACTCTGACCAAAATATCCCGTCTTAGCAATATTGTATTCAATTTAATTCACATCCATTTATTATTATATCAAATTAAACGAAATAGCACTAAAAATCATTAGTTTATTCTAGCCACAGCCACACACAGACATGCATACAAAATCGAATCCTGAATAATAGATACCAAATGGCGTATATTTTGGCATTTAGGGTGTAGATAAAAGATTGTTAGTGCAGCTGGCATTTCTTATACAATACGAATAGATGAATTATATTTGAAAAAAAGAAGAAGAAGAAAAAAAGAATGGGACAACACGAAATAATTCATTTTCTCTTGTGCGACCGAAAAACAATAGCCAAGCGAAAACAAATGTTAATGATCTCATGATGCACTCAATCTTTAAGTGTGAGCCTAGTGCTATCAGTTTCTTTATGTTAACACATAAAATTGGGTCGCACAAGAAAAATGTAAACAAACGGAACTAATTATCAGAGAGCAAATCCGAACCGCATTCGGTATAACTTCGACGATATTTTTCTTCCAAAAATGACTGTATATAAGATTTAAAAGGGGGAAAAAAGAGAAAAAAAGATTTGATTCAATTTTGTGTCAACTGTTACATCGCTCGATGACAAACACACTTGATGTGGCCGTTAAGAGCTTTTAAGTGCGTATAATATATATTTAGTAGAGCGACAATTGATTTTCCCTCTTTCATTGAGATATAATTTCTTGTTGAATGTGTAAAATTGTGTTTTTAAAAAAAAATTAATAAAATAAAACAAAACCAACTTTTGAAATAAATACTACAAATGTTTTAGATAAGCAAAGATATAATTGTACTTTTTACATTGGATTTGAAATATTATTATTAAATAAATGAAAAAAAAACCCGAGACAATGTGCAGCCTGCAGCCACTAAGATAAAAAGAAAAAGAAAACATAATTTGAAGAATTTTCTCATTTTTTTATCCATTCTTTCGAATAGAAGAAGCTTGGACATTTTTATTTAACTCATTCAATAGTTCAATTAAAGGAACTTAGGCACAAATCCGTGTCAAAATATCTTGACTGACTGAAAATGTAAATTTCCACGAAAATCAATCAACTTTGGTCAGTTAGCAAATTTAGAACAAGATAAATATAAATAAAATTGGCTGAATGACTTGTCAGTCGAGATATTTTCACATGGGATGGAAATGCTTTGAATTCAGAAATTAAATAAAGAAATATAATTCAATTGGGTTCGTTTTGATTTTATTTGGAATATTTGGTAATCATTCAATTCATCATATTGAACCATTCCATATCAAACAATATCATCACAAAATAAAAGGCAAGTAGACTATTCCATTGAATCTATTAACTGTTTATTTCTTGGCAGAGTCAAGGTAAATACACCATTATTGACAGATTTTTTCTCATTCGAGAAACGTCATTCAACGAACTGTCAAATCCTTTGTTGTCATTTCTAACCAATAAAGCAAAATGATTAAACTAAATCCGATTTGTTGTAAAAATTATTATGTGCCATTAAAGTTATTTAGTCGTCATTTGAAAGTGGCAAGGCGTAAAAATTATATCAAACCACCGAAGGTACAAAAAATACAGGCACATACTGCTTATCTGAAAGTAATTGGATCAGGTGCCCCTGATCAACCGGCCTCAGTAGTTCTCAAAACAACAACTAAAACCTATCTCTTTAATTGTGGTGATGGAATAAAAGCCTTGGCACAAAATGCTAAAGTATCATTAGAAAATATTAATCATACATTTTTTACACAATCAAAATGGAATTGTATTGGCGGTATGACAAGTGTAATTTTTGCAACAATTGCCAACTCTGGTTATCTACCTTCAATTCATGGACCAAATAATTTAGATAATATCTTCAGAAGGATGTCATTTCTGTCAATCGTTGGTAGTATGTTCAAAAATCGTTTTACACCAGAAACATATAAGTCATGCGAACCATTTGAAGATAATGATTTAATTATCGAACCGATTCAATTGAAACATTGGAACGAAACTGCCTTCATTTACTTATGCACATTAAAAGCATGCAAAGGAACATTTTCGGTAAGCAAATCGGTATTGAAAAATGTTCCACCACATTTAGTAATAAAATTACACCGCGGAGAAGATGTCAGTCTGGACGATGGTACTATTGTAACAGCAAATGAGGTGAGAAATCCAGACTATCCAGAAGTTCATTTCATTGGTGAGTTTTACAAGAGCTGAATATAACATGCGACGTTGGTTGATGTACTCATATATTCTTTGTTTGTTCTTTCTTCCTTTTTAGTTGTTGATGTACCACATAAAGGTTATCTTAAAGATTTGGCAACGAATATCAAATTGGAAAGCTTATTACACGAATCAAAATTACCAAATGTTGAGCTTATTATCCATTTTACACCAAAAGATGTGTTTGAAACATCACGCTATCAATATTTCATCAAATCCATTAATCCGAAAAGGAACATGATCTTAAACGATATGAACACGTAAGCATAATGAATAATGTAATTTTCTTGGGACTAAAAAGAATATTTTAATTTCAGACATTCTTGCATGGAAAGTGTATACAAATTACAGGAAAAGCTACATACGATCGATTCAAAAATTCATCCTTTGCTAAGGTTTGTGACATTTAATTTTGAAATATTTGATACAAAGTAGCTATTGAAAATAATTTTAGCACGCAACTGGATACGAGCCACAAAATATTTGACCCATATGATTGTATGAGCGAACAAACATCAACATTTTACACTAAATATATATTTCGCAAAACACAAGATGATGATTTTTTGAGAGATGTTGGTGAGGAAACGGAATCGTTTCTAATAAATGACGATTCCGGTGAAAAACCGGAAAAACAGTTTCATTTGTGCACACAAAATGTTCCATCAAAGCTTGAAAATGAACAATTTCCGAGAATCTTATTTTTGGGCACGGGTGCATCCGATTCACATTCCTTGCGTGGTCAATCTGCAATTTTAGTTCATTTATCGTAAGTGAATTTTAAATAATTTTTCATCCAAATGAAATAGAAATTAAATTTGTACTTTGGTTCATTAAATTAGGAATACCGACGCATTTCTACTAGATTGTGGCTCTGGAACGTGTTCTCAAATCAATCGATTTTATGGCAAAGAAGCGCCAGAAATATATCGGCGTTTAAAAGGTGTTTATATATCACATATGCATTTAGATCATCACATTGGAATGCCAGAAGTATTTCGATATCGGTTGCGATATTTACCAGCTGACCGTGAACCATTACGGATATTCTGTCCGGTGGAGGATTTTAAATCGTGGATTTTATTTTATTCCAAGAACGTTGAATCCATAAACCACGATATGAAACTTATCGATAACGATGTCTTGGTAAGACTGAATTCTTGTTCTTTGTTTCCACAGTTTATTGATAATATTATTATTTTGCAGTTGTATGATAAATTAAACTTTCATGAAAAAGTGTACCTGAACATTGATTCGCTTAAAACGTGTGCAGTTAATCATTTTAAAAAATCATACGCTTTAACGATGAATTTTTCATATCGTAATGGAGATAACGTGGAAACATTTCGGCTTGCGTACAGCGGTGACACAGGCCTGTCTGATGATTTTGTGAAATTGGGACATAAAGCTGATCTTTTAATACATGAGGCAACTTTTCAAGACGCACTAACAGACCTTGCTGATAAATCTAGACATTCCACCATGTCTATGGCACTTGAGCAAAGCAAACGAATGGAGGCTAAACACACGATACTGACACATTTTAGCAGTAGATATCATATTTTACCATATATTGAAAATATCGATGAAAATACGGGCATTGCATTTGACTATATGGAAATTACACCGGACGATTTGCCCAGACTTGGCTCTTTGGTCGCACAATATCAAAATGCCTTTCCAGGAGATTTGAGATATCTTGAACAGAAAACCAAAAGCTATCTATTTCAACGTGGTTTGGATACACCGATAAATGAATGATATGACGTTAAGTAAATGTTTAAAATGTAGGAAAAAAAATTGTAAAAAATATAAAGCTCAAACATTGAGCTTAATAAATGAAGAAAATTCCAAAGATGGAAAATAATTGTTTTTTCAACAACATGTTAGCTTTAGAAATTCAGTTTAAAATTGATTTTTTTCAAAAGAGTGAGGTTATAACATTGATTTGACATTTACCATTCGTATGACACCCCAGTTAGTAAATAAATACTTCAAAACATTGTATATAGTGTGCAATGAACACAGTGCATAGTAAATGCGTCAAATTTAAAAAAAAAAAAACATTTTGTTGTGTATTGTGTGCATTACGTGATTGATGTTGATTTTGTGGTGCTTAAGTAATTTATGAGTGATGAAAATAGGATTTATCTATACTTTTACCATATTGAAGGCAAAAATAGCATAATTTGGTACTGAACAGCTGATTTGATATTAATATTTTAATGATAACAACAAAGCATTTCAAAATATTGTGAAATCATAAATGACCAGTTTCAATCGTTTGGGCAACAACCGATGATCAAATAGTTAGATATAATTTCAAGGTAATTTATGGTTTACAAAATCATAACATAGCTAATGGTTTTCCGAAAAATTATGCATCCATCCATTCAATTATAATATTTGTGGACAGACTATAGCACTCATACATTCACAGTGACAGTTAACAGTTATAAATATCACTCAAGTCATTTTGTTTATTTCAGTCGTGAAGCTTTAGCGCTACAGCGTGGTTCATTCAATCAGTTTCTACAACAATTAATTTTATTTTGTTTTGTGGTATCAACGTATAACGTGTACGTATTCGTAAGATTTGTGATAACGAGCGTAATTTTGCGGTTTGTTACGCTCTAATCAAATTAAAATTAATTTTATGCCTTGTTTGGTTGGTTTTCTCAGTAAAAAATACCCATATATAAGTCTTTTTTCGGAAAATACGTGTCGATTTTGTAGTTTAGACTTGCATTGACTTTCCATATTTACAAATTGTAAAAGTCAATTGTCATCGACCTTGAGTCCTCGATGATTCTATACTGTTTTAGCGAAGCATGACTTACAGTTAATTATTGTCCGTCATAATTAATTCGAATTTTAATTGAAACGCCATGACGCAATTACATATTCTTAACGTGTAAACAAAGTTGGAAAATAAATGTTTTTAATTGCAACGTTGAAAAAAAAATGTGCAGATGTAATGAATTTACAAATACCACAAACTGGTTCTCATTTTTATTTAAGCCAAAAATGTCCACAAAGAAACTGAAATATATTTCCAGATTTTTTAAAAATGAAAATGTGATATTTGATACCTTAATTTTTGGCAAGTGTTTGTTATCACTCACATAGTCACTTTTTTAAACGAATAAAGTTCAATGTACAATTGTTTTTGGCTTTTTTATAGTTTTGCAATTTGATTTGTTTTTTTTTATGTAGAAAATCGTTAATTGAACAATTTTGTTTGAATTTAAATCACAGATCTGTAAAAAAAAGAGTAAGAAAAAAATGGAAGTGGAATGGAAGGAAACTTATGCAATTTTGCAGAAAAAATATGATGAAGTCATCAAAACCGTTGAATTGGCAAAGCAGAATGAAGAGAAGGCAAATAAAGAAATGGCATTGATTAATTACAAACTATCTATATCATTGATCGATGAAGCATTGGCCACCCCGGTTGCATTACCAGAAGACCCAGATGACGTGGATGATACCTGGTTATTAGGTTTAAAAATTGTAAAGGCACTAAAGAGAACACGAGGTGAAGTACTACACCGAATTGCCATTTTGTCGCCGTCCACAAGTCAATCGAACGTATCGACACGAGACAGAATGCCACTTGAACAATCCAATGGTGCTAAAAAGCGACCGCGTACATTCATGGAATTGGCCGAAGCATTACAAAATTTAGAGTTTAACTTGAATGATCCGAAGGAATTGCCAAGTGTTTTAGAATTACTTTTCTCTTGTGAAGGTGTTAAATTGTATCATATCAATGTGAATGGTGAAGTGACTACAACAGATGATTCATCAACCTTGCGAATTGTTCGATTAGATCAAGATTTAAATCAGCATTTTGATGCTACATATTTCATGCAAATAATTCGTTCATTGGCTGCCGAAGAAATTCAACAGGGTTTTGATGATGGTGAAGATAAAGATACCGAATTAGACAATACAATTGGAAATGATGATGATTTGGATGAAATACCGTCTACAAAAAAAGTGCGAGAAAATACTCCAACAAAAGCAATTGACTCATCTTTAATATATCCACTGGTGCCCGCTGTTTCACCATGTTTCCGAACTGAATTTGGTGCTTTCATCTTTCCGGATATTCAATCCGATGAACAAGGTGCTGCTATTGGTATTGTTATTCCAAAATCAACGGATGCTATTGTGTCAGAAATTTTAGAATCAATCCTACACGGCATCGTTCGACAAAAAGAAGAAGGAGAAGACGAAGATGAAACCGAAGAAGAGGGCAGAACGAAAAGAAAACGACGACATGCCAGTGAACGTGTTTCAGATAATCTCGTGCAAGGTGCATGTTTTGTATCAAACGGTTTAGTCAAGGGAACCGAACAATTTGGAAAACTCGTGTCATATACCACACCATACATAATTTCAAAAATGGCCAGAGCACCAGAAAATGCACCACCCGTTTCGAATAAGGTTGCCAATGGTATTGAAATCGCAAAATCGACAACTGGAATACTTGTTGGTGTTACAGGTTATTTGGCCGGAAAAGTTGGCAGCGCTTCGGTGGCGTTAGGAAAATTTATCGCACCGCATGTTCATGCTCAAGGTATTCAACGAAATTCATTGTTAGGAAATTTCTTTTTAAATTATTGTTGTTTTTTTTTTCTTCATAAGGTTCAAAAATATTATCAAATACAATGGGCTATAGCACAGATGAAGCCAAAGATAAGGTGAATACTAAGTTTGTTCTACCACTATTTGGTATTTCTAAAAAGAAGAAAAAGTATTTGTGTCGCTATAATTGTGTCACTAAAAATATAAATATTTTTTTCAGATGAGTGGCGTTCTCACTGTTGCCGCTGGTGCTGTTGAAGGATTTGGTACGATCTATAATGGTTTGGAGAAATCGGCTGGAATTCTTGGAAGGAATCTTAGTGACAATTCGGTTCAAATCATCGAACACAAGTATGGTGCACAAGCCGGTAATCTCGCACACGATACATTCGACACAGTGGGGAACATGATCAATTTATCACAAAATATGAGTTTAATTACACCCAAAGGTCTTGCCAAGAAAACGGTTAAAGGAACTGGTAAAGCGATTATCGGCGATTTTCGACCACAAGTTCCAAGTAAGTTTTAACGAAAATAATTTTAAATGATCTTTTAATCATATAGGTTGCAAAATTTATTTTTCCAGAAACAAACTATGCAACAGCTGGTTCTTTGTATCCCGACTTGACGGAATTCTCCAAAAAACTGACCCAATCCGATAATTAGACGTGTATATGTATAACTTCGGGTATCGATCAAAGCATCAAACCATAAGCATGCAGCCAAATGTTTGTGATTTCATACTTGGTGTCTACCGTAGTAACATATGATGTTATTTCAATATATATCATTTTAAATGCAAATAAATAGTTTTTATAGACCTCAAAACTGAATTCATTTATGATATTGCGGTGATTAGAATCAACAACAAAAAACTCTTTGTGATATGGCGTCATCTACCGACCGGCTAACTTATTTGACTTCTGTCTTGAATAAAAAAACCGTTTTTAGAAAACTAATATTTATTATTATTATTGATTAAATGGTTCATAGCATAAATTAGTGGTATCTTATGTTGACTACCTGTGAATGGCATCACAATCGACGAAAATGAAATCAACGAAAACATTTTTTCTATACATTTTTCTATTTCCACAAACAAATGAAATTTCCGACTGAATGAATTCCGAAACATCTATTCAAGATCAATTCAATAACAAATGATGCCAACTTCACGTGTAATCGATAATATGGTTTGAAATTGCGTTCATTTTGTAAACCACTGCTTATATTCTGACAGTTCAGACTACCTTGCAAATGGTGCTATCTACTAAAAATTTATTCTAGTTTGAAATCAAGTAAGAATTAATTGGAAAATAATCAACGTGATTATCTCATAGTCATTTAACGCTTTGATAAAGTGAAAAGCTTCTTTAAAAATGACGAAAACCCATCAGAACGAAACTAGGAACGAAATCACTTTATATTCAAGTCACACCACAGATGAAAAGTCATCCCCAACATCTTTTGAATTATCGACATTTTGTGCTGAAACAATAACTGGATTTTTGGATGGTTTGTCTGCGGGTCGTCGTTTGAATGCCGGTAAGTCATTAAATTTTGGTAAATTTTCAATAAATACTAAGTTCAAAATAAACCACTAAAACAATTATTTGTAGAGCGTGAAGTGTGTTTGGAATTGTTCAATAAATGGAATGAATATAACCAAATTGATTTCGTGTTGTTGCTTCTGAATCAAATGAACCAGCAACAATGCGATCAAATAAATACATATTTAACGCCATTGCTGCGACGAGATATGATTTCAATGTTTGCAAGTAAGTTTGACTTTGTCATCATAATTCAAATAAATTGGAACTGAATAAACATTGTTTTTCCGAATGCAGAATGTGGCGTTGTGCATATAGCAGAGGCAATACTGCTTTATTTGGATTTTGATTCGTTGAAAGTGGCAGATTCACTGTGCCACGAATGGTCGCGTATCATTTCAGATGGTATGCTATGTTTTACGATTATTTTCGATTATTTGTCGATTATTTTAAATTAATTCGATTCTTTTCTTTTGTGATTTTCCCCTTAGGTATGATATGGAAGAAATCAATCGAACATAAGGTGCAAACCGATTCACAATGGCTTTCGTTGTGCAAACATCAAAAATGGTTTCAATATTTATTCAAACCACAGCCGGGTACACCCTAGGGGCAATTCACTTAAAAATTACCTTTCTATTATTTAATAATTGTTATTGATTATTGCGATTATTCTTGTTCTTTTTCGATTATTGCGATTATTTTCGATTATTTTCGATTATTTCGATTATTTGTTGATTATACATTAATTCTAATATCCATACTATGACATTGCCAAATGACAATGAAGAAAACAGAATGTATGTAGGATAGAAAGAGAGACTGTGTGTCTGGGCGACTGAGTGAGTGAGTGAGTGAGAGATTATTGAAAACCATTAGAATGTAAGGCTTGACCACATGTATTTATTACATTATTGTCGCGACAGCAAAAAGATTCGCTGAAAATTGAGATTTGATTGTGGTGGTAGTAGTAGCAGTGGAGGGAACAACACACATGGAATTAATGCCGTACACACAATTTGCTATTGCATCGGAACGACGTCACAGCGGCAACGGCAATATGGCGTAGCGAATGGACAATACTGCGAGAACAGTAGCAACGACAAAAGATCACATTCGGGTAAGCATATTCAAATGTATTGTATTGTGAAATTGAAAACTGCGTTGACATAAATTTTTGTATTGGTATTGTGGATGGCGCGCATAAACCAAAATCGAATGCGCATCTGTGTGAGTCTGTGTATTTTTTGCCGGCATCGCACCACAATACATTTCACTTGTCGTTTGACACACAAACTGTTCGAACATTCTGAACAGAATTAGAACGGAATTAAACGTGAAACTAAAAGAAGCATTTTTTTTCATTTTCCAAGTCATTGTGCATTTACATTGTTTGTTTCAATTTATTTTTTCCGATCGCAAAAAGAAAAGGTATGTGTATTTTTTTTTGTTAAATTAAATTTTGTGTTGTGCCATATATTTATATTGAGCATTCAATTGTGGACAATGCTGTGGTTTTCAAACATGTTATTGCGTGTTTTGTGAATGTAGCGGTACTTTTGTGCACATTCAAAGGCTACTTATTCGAATATTCTGAACAGAATTAGAACGGAATTAAACGAGAAACTAAACAAAAAAAAAATATTTTTTTCAAAGACATTGTGCATTTACATTTTTTTTTTAATTTTTGATCAAAATTTGTCATATATATGTTCATATTACGTTAAGGTTTACATATTCTAATGTAACATTTCATTATTGTCTACAGTTAACATGGCAAGAAAACGCAAACGTCGAACTGACAGTGTTGAACCGTCAACATCAGTGCCACCATCAGCTATTGATCCAAATCGACCCGAATTCCAGCCATTTGTCGAATTAAACATATTGACTGAAGCCGAAATAAATGAGGCGTTACACAATCCACGCGATATTGATCATCATCATCAACATCATCATCAAGATGACAGTATGCAACCGCGTGTACTGCTGAATCGTTTGACCGAAGAAGAGATTGCGGCACACTGTAGTTCCAGCACCAGTGTCGGTCCGACCGAAACGAAAAAGGCACCGAAAGTCGAATTCGATCAGGTAAATTTTACCGTTAAAACTGGTTTGAGAGGTGTATTAAATGATATACCCGATGATGAAAATGCAAAACGCTTGCTTTTAAACCGCATTTCTGACGATGTGGTGCGATGCACGAAAATTGCGATACAAGCATCGAGTGCAATTCATTTCATCTTCAATAAAAAGATGGAAGAGGGCACACCGGAGGAAATTACCGAATTTTTCAACAAAACTGACCGTCCAAACAATCGATGGTCAGAGACACAGCAAATGTTGTCCGAATATTTTTACGGCGTGCTGCGAGACAAATGCCGAAGCGATGACTATCCAATTCAAAAGCATGCACCGGAATTTCTCGATATTATGTTGCGAAATGGTGAGGATGTCCTCCAAACCAGCGATAAAATAGCGCAACAAATCAAGTACATGTGCCAACAATATCACACAAATTTCATGCTCATCATTGTAATACACACGAAGGCTCGACTACGTCGATTTTTCATGTTTGTGCAAAATAGTCTGCATCCAGCCTATACAAAACAACAAAAAAACCATAACAAAAATGTCGTAAATCGCACAATTCGATTCCTGTTTGATGGCACAGTTGAGTATGAAGCGGATTTAGTTAACGCATTCACCGTGCTGCTGGAGCCGAACATTGAAAATAAATGTGGCATGTTCATGGACATTAAACTAACATGGATGCAGCATGTCCCATTGTTATTTCGTTTGCAAAAGTTCATTTATGAAGATTGTTCCATTGGCCACGTTTCAGCGCCGGCACATCATGTTCGATTCGAGATCTTTATTCGACGCTTTGACTGCCGTCGGTCGCAAGCCACGTAAACCGACCAAAACACCGAAAGCTTACGACCGAGACGAGTTCCTCGCCAAAAAAAGTTTAGTCCGAAAAATGTGGCAGAAATATTTCGATTATGAAAAAATCATACCGACAACACCGAAGAAATATTTCAATCAACTAATTTACACGGATGGTGTGGCCGTGTCTCTGAACTGCATCAAAACAATTGTTAAACAAACCGAGGAAGATCGAATCGAACGACTTTCGCAAGATTTTGAAGGTGGCAAATTCGAACGATTGCTCGGATTGGATCCAGGCAAACATGGGGTCAATCACTAAATTCTAGTGCATCTAGTTTTTGATAAAAATTCACTAGAAAACTAGAAAATTCTAGTGCGTGAAGTTGGCTCTCAGTAGTTTTTCATATAAATTATATGTCCTTTGGTGTGAAGTTGGCTTCGTTTGTGACGTCATTCTTCGCACTAGATTTACTAGTTTTTCTAGTATTCACTAGCGTGATTCGCCCCATGCAGGCAAAAGACTAACAGTTGCTGGTGTTGCCAGGGAATATCGAGACAATGACGTGATAGTCGAGCGCAATATTCGAGTGGAGGCTGGCAAATATTATCGCCTAATCAATGCGAAAAAACAAAAGAAATTGCGTGAAGAACTTGACACAAAGTTGCAAGATCGTTTGTTGGCAGATCGAATGACGTATCCGGAGATCTCCGAAACATGTCCGCACTATGTTGATTTTGCGAATCACCATTTTCGTTTTTTCAATGAACAAATCAAAGTGTACTGTTCGCTCAAGTATACCTATTTGGCATTCGGTGGTTTCATCAAGAAACAAAAAGCGATGGATAAAATCACAAACGAATTGTGTCAAGGTAAACCAACGCTCATTGTCATCGGCGGAGCAAAGATGCGACAAGGTCTCAAAGGCCATCCAGAAACACCACAAACGAATCGCTATGTGCATTATTTCAATCGACGACGTGGATGTAAGTGTTTGGTAGTAGATGAAAATCGCACGACAATGTTGTGCAGCCTATGCTGGACCGTATTGCAAGCGCCAAACAATCAACCGAAAGCACGATACAGAACGTGTTTGAATTGTATTGTAAAGATCCTTGCAGAACCAGCACATGTAGTTTGGACGAGGAAAAGTAAACGTCGTTTGAGAAGAGAGCGACGTCGTTTGAAAAGAGAACTACGTCGTCGTTTGAATGCAGGTGAAAACGTCAACAATGCAGCAGCACCAGAACCAGCCAATGTGAACAATGAAGATGAAGTGATGCCATTGGTCGCTGATGTAGTACAACAAGTAGAAGTAGTGGAAGTACGAGAAGAACAACAACAAGAAGAAGATATTTTCATTATCGTTGACGGTGATGAACAAATGCAAATGTATGTACCAAATCCACAACCACAACGAATGGTTTCAAAGATTGTACGGATAGTTAAAAACAACCGGGCCGGCCGACTTGGAACTGTGATCGTGGTGTGGAATCGGGACGTAAATGCGGGTCGCAACATTCTATATCGCGGTTTGTGCATACTGCGACATGTAGAACCGAATCCCGTTTTCACGGTCCGAAATCTTGCGGAACTCGGCATGTGAGGTAAGTATATACAAAAGAAGAGAATACACAATTTGTAAACCAATGACACAATCAACCAAATTAATACATTAATTTTCTGCTACTAATTTTATAATAAATTCCATTTTTTTTCTCTATGCACAGATCTCCGCTACAACGATCATCAATCAATCATAAAAATCTCAATTTTCAGCTATTTTTTAGCTATCGCGATTTCAGTAATGGAAAGTTTTCATTTAAGATTTCTTTATATTTATGTGGTCGCCTTATTTCAATTTATTGATATATACACTTGTAAGCTACGATTATTTTTCGATTATTTGTCGATTACTTATCGATTATTTCCAATTATTTCTTTTCTTTTGTGATTCTCCCCTTAGGTACACCGCATCCACCGAATTCCTTTTATTATTCACTTTATACGAACATCGAAAAATACATTGAAAATACAAGGAATAATTGGCAAAATGGATTGTTCAATTTGACAAGAATTAGTTGCAATTCGGCGCGATCAAGAGGTGTTTATTGTTTGCAGTACGACGATGAAAAAATTGTGGCCGGACTACGTGACAACACAATTAAAATATGGAATCGCAATAATTTAACACAATCCAAAACGCTGAGCGGACACACTGGTTCTGTGCTTTGCTTACAATTTAATGATCAAGTTATTATCACTGGTTCCAGCGACTCGACTGTTCGAATTTGGGATCTGAACACTGGCAACGAAATCAACACATACATTCATCACAGCGAAGCTGTGCTCCATTTACGCTTCAACAAAGATATGATGGTTTCATGCTCACGGGTAAGAAATATATACCGCACTTACAAGCCATGAAAATTGTATATCATTTTCTACGAAATAAATTCATACATTTTATTAGGACCGATCGATTGCTGTTTGGGATTTATCACCAAAGATGGAACTTTCATTCCGTCGAGTATTAGTTGGACATCAAGCCGCTGTGAATGTCGTTGATTTTGATGAAAAGTATATTGTGTCTGCGTCGGGTGATCGGATAATTAAAGTGTGGAGTTCATCTGAATGTGATTTTGTACGAGATTTAGTCGGACACACACGCGGTATCGCTTGTTTGCAATACCATGATAATTTGGTTGTCACCGGCAGTTCAGATTGTACAATCCGGTACAAATTTGTTTCGTCTAAATCGAATCTTATATTTATTTATTTATGACTAACAAATTATATACTTTGCAATATCACCTGCTCTATTTTATAATTTTTTTTTAATTATTGTCGTAGTATTTGGAATGTTGAATCTGGCGAATGCATACGAATACTTGAAGGACACCATAATTTAGTTCGATGCCTTCGCTTCGACTCAAAGCGCATTGTAAGTGGTGCATACGATGGAACAATCATTGTATGGGACTTAATCGCAGCACTCAATCCAGATGTTAGCAGTGATTCATTGTGTCTAAGTAAACTGAAGGTTTGTTTAATACTATTACTCTTAGCAAATTATATCAGATGCCAAAATTCCAGAGATCTATATCAAATTAATTATATTTTGGTAAAATTACCAGATAAAATGAATCTATCGCCAAAAGGACCAAAGTCAACCTCTTTTAAAAGCATTTAGATTTTCCGTCTGTCTGATTATGTACAGTTTTAAACTCTTTTTCCACCACAGGAACACAATGGAAAACTATTTCGACTACAGTTTGACGAATTTCAAATTGTTAGCGGCTCACATGATGACACCATATTGATATGGGATTTTGTGAACTTCACACCACCCGAATGTGCAGTTGAAGCCAGACGATCACCATCACGTATGTTGATTTTTGTTAAACCTTCAACAGCCTTTATAACGAATTCTACTTACTATTGTTCTTCACATTATCATTATTATAGCTGTTCGGATGGAAAATTAACGGCCTCTATTCTCACCAATTTCTTTGTTATCTACATTTTAAGAGAAAATATTACTTCATACGATCTATGCGACCATGGATGATGATCCAAATATTCAGACTTTTGCCAGAAGGTAAAACAACGATGACACAATTCTAATATGGGATTTTTTGAATTACACATCGCCAGAAGAAGGTCAATCGCCTAAAGCCGTCAATTTTAGATCAAATTTGTTTATATTTGACTGTTCATACGGAATGTAAACATTTTGTGTACTTCTATTATTCATATGCAAACTTGGATAAAGTAGGTTTAGAAATTATTGTATTATTTCTACTAAAAATTCGCGCATTGGAAGTCGATTGAAGCGATTACTAAAATGTGTTTTTTTTTTTTAAATTGGCAAAGCCGACGATGCTCATTAAAATGCTTTAAATATAAAAACAAATTACAAATTCTAAATTTCTCAGTTTTACTCATCATTCAACCTAAATACTATTTCATTTAACCTTTCTTATACCAAATATATAATAATACTATAGTTATTGAAGATAATCATTGGTGGTCATTAAAGTGATAAAAAAAATTTATTTATTGAAGGGAGATAAAAATGAAGCAATTTATTTATTTTAAAAACAAGAAACATTGCGACGCTAAAAAAACATCGAATTAAAAAGAAATTTCACAATTTCAAAATATTTTGAATTATGAAAAACTTTCAAACAGATCCTTCAATACTTAGAATGTGAAGAATGTAGCGGTTCTTCTTAGGTGGAAAATATTTATAAAAATATATATTTTGAATTCACAAAAAAAATATGTTTTTTTTAAATGAAAAGGAAAAAAAAAAAAATTATTGACATTTTTTAACGTTTTTGTTATTATTTATTAATATATATTAACAGATTCGGTTAATTTTACATCTTTAAGCTATATTTGAGAGCCTGAAACCCAAAACAAGTTATAAAAATTCTTTTCGGAAAAAAAGCAGAAGAATGTATTTTAAATGAAAAAGGCGATAGAAAAAAACTGAGAGTTAAAAGAGCATATACAGAACTGAGAATTAAAACAGAATATAAATTCAGTTAGCGACAAAACAAACAAGCGATATGTTATATTTTGACTCTCAGTTTTTATTTGTCCCATGTTTTTGACGAAAGCAAATATGAATATATTTATCGATTCCAAATAAAAAGATATACATTTTCAGTGCTAAAATGAGGCGAATAAAAACTGAGAGTTAAAATACAATATACCGAATTGAAAGTAAAAACAGCAAATCGATATATGCTACTTTTGCTCTCAGTATTCTATGTGTTGTTTTAACTCTCAACTCTCTATATTCTCGTTTTGTGCTCAATAATTTCTTATGCTCTTTTTCCGATAAGAATTTTTATAATTTGTTTTGGGTTTCAGGCTCTCATTTCATAGGTCAGCTAAGTTGTGGATGAGACAAGAAATCATAATAATATCAAACATGAATTATGAATATCAGTTAAATAATGATGATACTTTGTTTACAGAGGTTTACAGTCTTGAATGTGAGTTCTGTGAGTAATTTCACCAAATATTTTTACGTGACAAATTCACACAATGTGTTTGAAATGATAATTTCAAAGCATAACAAACATAACCCCTAACAAGTGACATTGTTATTATATATAAACGTTCTTAGACCAACTACAAATAATTACGAAAAAAATGGTTTCACGTACAAATGGTGTTTAAAATTAGTGTTATTTATATTTTCAAAACAAACAAAATGTATCAATACTCAAGAGTGAGTTCCTTGTAGTCCGAATTTGATGTATGGTGTACGGCTTTCCAATCGGTGCCAAGTGCTGTTGCAAAAGATTCTCGAATGTGTTGATTGCTACAACGAAATGCCAGTTTCAGCGTTTTGAGTGTTTCACATTCAGCAACGAATCGGCACAGGTGAGATGATGTTGAAATAAAGTCGCCAAATAAGTAAAGGATCGTAAGTTGAGGCAGAGTTTTTGCAAATAATGTGAGATTTTCATCCAATTTCTCCATCGGCATCAATTCTTCGAGTGAAAACTTTTTGGTCATTATTGTCTGTCCGGGCGTTAGACCCAAACTAATCAAATTTGTGCACTTTGTGATGAAATCAGTCCATTTTGAATACGATGCCGAGTAGCCGATTATACATAAATTCTTCAGATTTGCAGCTGACAGTGATACTTGGCATTCGTTCTTTTCTGGAAGATAAATTGTGAGCTGTGTCAGTGTCTGGAAGTCAATAACAGCGTCTTCGGGTGAATTTTCATTGCCGGTGAGTTGAAATGTTAATTCAGTCAAATTGGGCAGCGAATCGTTGATGATGTTTAACATTTGTTTATTCATACCAGGTACCATTAAACATAAGCTCTGCAGATGAGAATTTCGATGCAAACACGACACAACATTTGAAATTGACAATTGACTCAGTTCTTGTCGATCGTGTTTCAATGTCAATTTTGTCAAGGCAGGAAATGTTGCTTCGATGTGTTTTGGATCAGAAAATGTTGAATTTACTAATTTTAAATGTTTAACACTCGGAAACCATTGACATAGGCGAGAGAGATTTTGTCGAAAGTCACCTTCATGAATGGACAATTTCGTAATGGCCGGAAATGATTCGTGTACTTTGTTGAATGTCCATGCATCGAACGATTGGATTTTCAGCTTCTGTAATGAATCAGCACAATGTAAAACAATGTCACGTTCAATTTTACTCCAATTGCTCGGGTCATCCATCAGGAAATTTCGATTGGAGTAATCGATTTCCAGCTTCAACACCAAATGCCCAAACAAACGAAGAAATGTTGCGGATTCAATGTCACTTTTCATGCGAATATTTTGATCCAGAACGACCGACGTTGAACAAATGAAACCAGATTCATCGATCACCACGGTTTCATTGTTGTATTTTTGTCCGAATATCGACTTTGCTGGTGTTCTCAATATTGCATGTGCATCTGCCAATGTTGTTAATTCCGACAAACTCAAGTAGTTAAACAAATGTGAGGCGATAATGCGATGATCATGTTGATTTTGCGAAGTATCATTGATATTAACCATTTTATCTGAAAATTCCATTGCGACTACAGCACAATTGAACCAGGAAGTATCAACATGTATTCAAATAAAAAACAATAATAAACATACTAAGACAGGTATCTATTGAGACATTTTCAAAAGAAAAGTTCACTTATTTTACCATTTCCAGATATTTGAATATTCCAACAAATTTACTCTAGTTTGTTGTTAGTTCAAATGTCTCCAGGTTACTGTTAAGAAAAACAAGGGAATTTTAACTGAGCTAAATTTTGGATGGACTACGCAAAAACAACAAAATATATTTTGTTTATTTCAGTTTTGAAAGGTTACATTGTTTACAAATTTTTGTAGTTTGACAAACATTAGTCAACCGATTGTGGGAATGAACAAGTAGAACAATCTTGAGAAGAACGTTCTTGAAAACGTTTGCAAAAGTAATAAAGTAAGACAATGCTCTCTTTGATTCCATTGCAAATTCGTTTCATTCGCATATGTTTATACAAAGAAACGATTGTGTAAGCAAATGCTGTTTACTTTTGTATGGTATAGTTGAGTTTCATTTTAATCGGCGCAGAAGTCATGAAATTTTTTATGAAATCATTATCTATAAATTTTTGGGCGATGATCATTCTGATTAGTGAGATGATACGAGTAATATTTTTTTTCTCGAAATTAAGAACATAAAAATGACAGTCATGTTTTGATTGGAAAGTTAGTTGGACATTCTATATCGCATAGTTCTTTTGATTGAAATCTGTTCTCACATGTTCCAAAATTGATAGCACATTTATTTTGATACAGAAAACATTATTTTAAAATACTCAGTGCGATCAGAAAAATTGTTTAAGTTGTCTGGCCGCAAAAGAATTGCTCAATTTACACTTGGATAGCCGCCTATAGGCAGATAAGAACAGTAATTTCTGTAAAGATTCACGTTTCAATAAGCGGAATGAAATTATATTCATTTTGAATGTACTATTGCTATGTGTCGCTGAGAATGAAACCTCCTGGTCTTACTCATGGAGTGAGTAATTCCAATTGAAACTTGTAATGTAATCAAAGTATTTACGAAAAAAATTATTTCTGCTCCTATTAAAATGAATCATTTCATATGCTATGAATCATTATATCACATTACACATATATGTGTCGACAAAGTTCCCCCACACCACGTTTATATGTTTATCATACAATTAATTATTTAAATGCATAAATCATTTAGTTAAAACTTTTATATCAAACTGATTGGTCCAGCATGACCCATTTATTTAAAATTCGTGTAAAATTGTGTGCACTTTTTCAATTAATTTATTCTATAGTTATGGAATCTGAAACGAAAACATTGGACAAAACTACTGCGGATACTTTTACAAAATTTGAACTCCTTAAAATTATCTCTATATCAAAAGGCACTATTTTTGTTGTTGTATTTCTAGTGATCATGGTAATTGTGTGCGTTTTCAAGTACTGCAGAGAAAGAGAGTCTGAGGATAACCTACAAGCCCTCAACAACGAAACAAATACCACATTATCAACTATAAACGAGGATGTGACTTCCAACCCCGAAGAGAAACAATATGTAACCATTGAAATATCAAATGAAGGAGAACTTTGTAGCGAGGAGACTTCATCCGTATATACCACCCAAACAGACAACTATGAAAAAGTTTGGTTTGGACGTACCATAGGAGAAAGTCAACAGGATTTGCGAATTTTAGATTTTTAGAAAGATAGTAGTTTCGTTCAAAGCGTTTAGTTTGGATCACTGCTCATATATATGTTTCCAAACGTATATTTAATACCACATCTTATTATCATTCTAATCATGATGTCTGGTGGGCCACGGTTCAAAGTCGAGTTGGATAATTTCAGTTTTCTCACGTTTATGATAATAAAATCGCTTGTGGAATTCTTTTTTTTTAAACAAATACCATTGAATAGACGTACTTCCAATGTAGTTGTATTAATTTTTCTGTAAATTTTGAAATAAATTATAGAGATTTTTTTGTTTAATGAGTTTATTTATTGCGTAAAGCAATAGGATGATACAATATTAAGAAATAAATGTTATTAGCAACCAGACAAATGTGAATTTAATTTTTTTTCGACTATTTTTTATCATTATCGTATGTCCGCTAGAATAAAAGCAGATAATTAAATTTGATGCTTTTAATTTCGCCGTAAAATCATTTTAAAACCAAAACCAATTAACACTGGCGATTCTCAAACATTCATGTATTTATATGCTTTTTTTAACTCTACCTTTCACAAAATTTATTCGACGATTTGGCAATACCACCGAAGAATGTTGAAATGCTTTTTGAATTATTTAATATGTGTTTAAAGAGAATGCCAGAACATTTACCGAAAATTATAGATGCTCAGACTTGGAAATTCCGTTTTATCTAGTTGAACAAAATTGACGTCCAAAAAATCCTAGAAAATCAAAAGAATTTTCCGACAAATAAACTAATATGTGAAAAATATTATGTGATCACATTGATTGCTCATATTATATACTTTTTACACGTGCATAACAACGATAAATAATAAATAAAAAATGAAAAAAAGAAAAAAATCGCGCAACAATTATAATGTTCAGGCAAATGTATTTGAAAAGGGGGAATAAAATTCATCAAAGAATAGCTTTCGTTAGATATGAGGATCATGAAGGATTTTTGAAAAATTCACCACAATTTAATTGCTTATTGGCTATAGAAATTTCACCCGACAACTAATAAAATATAACAGAAAATTCAAAATAATTCATTTTTAATTTCAATAAGAAGTAAAATAAGCATTTTTTTTTTATTATTATCATCTTCCCAGGGCTGCATTTTTCAAAAATACACACCACATATACTCACACATTTGAATCTATTCAATAATAATAATTGATTATTTATTGCCAAATGGCTGTGAGAATGGACGGCAAAAAGAGAAGCATTGTATGCGATTTAAGTTTTATAATAGAAACAACTCTTGCATATAAGCAATCGTGAGTGCTATTTTCTGTTCTTGGTAATGCGTCATTGAATAAAGCTTGTGATTTTGTTGCCCTTTAACCTGCATTTAAGCGTAATTGCCACTGAAAGCTGAAAAGCATTGAATAATATACACTTGAACAAGGCGAATCCGATTATTCAAGGTTGATTTATTCATTCGACGACCATGGTAAAAATCAACATTGTAATCGAGTAGATTCTCGAGAAAATCTGAAAAATGAAATGAATTTAATGAAGTTAATAATCTGAATGATATATCATCTCGTTTCAAACCGTAACACATGTTGCCAAATTTAAAGGAGCCATGGCACCGATTGTAAGTAGGGCTGGTTTCTGACAATTCTTTATAAAAAAACGATATATACGTTGATCTTCTAGCGATAGCTCATTAAAATTTATATACAAAGCAGATTTGTAAATCCGGTCATGCTGTAAATCATTGGACCATAATTAGTAATTTATTTAAAATGATATGAAAATATTGAGAATTAAACTTACGGTTAGCTCGACGAAGTTACCAAGTAGGCAAGCGGTGAAAATCTGAAACAACAGCCCAAACAGCAAACCATAAACAGGCAAGTAATGAAGCTGTAACATAAATGTATTTGAATCAAACTCAGGGATATCCGATAAAATTAATGTTATCACGCATATTACCGTTAAAATAACGTAAAAAATGATAACCGATCCAATACTTGAACTAGCGATTTGTCCAAAAAACATTATAAATGTCAATTTTTCAACACGTTTCATGTACCTTATGGATAAAAAATTAATTGAAATTAGCTTTTTTCTGAGATTTTTTTTCAAGCAGTGCTATAAATTATTGAAAATTTAGTTTTTTTTTAAATAAATATTTCAATTGCAATAAAAAAATCGAATTTACTTGGTCATTTCCTGATGCATTAGCAAAATGTTTCTGAGTCGTGATTTCACCGTCAACGTTGAATTCTTTTGTAATAGATCGTCGTTTATTTGTGCCATATCAAGTGAAATTAATTTTGCAAAAATCAGCGTGCTTATAATTATGATTGCCATGAAAAAGTCACATGCCAATACTCCAAATGTAGCCAAAATAAATAATAGAACTTGATAACAGCTCAAAATAATATAGCCAGCCAATTGAGTTTCATCCACGCCTGGCAAATACACCGGAATAATTGTAACCACTTCATTTTCAAAATAATACATATAAAGGGGATACGGAAAAAATGTAAACACCGATAAAATGTATAGCGTTGTTATGACCTTAAAGAAAACTTCGGTGCCGAATGCAAAATTGCTGAAAAATGCAAGTCTTTCCTTAGATTTTGTTTTAATATGAGCCTTATACAGTTTCTGTATGAAATGAATAACCCATTGAAGATCTTCTACATATCGTATATGAAACATTTTTATTACACACTGAAATATTGAATTAATATTCATGAGAAAAAATGAAACATTTAATTTCGGTTTTTTTCAATTGTTACCTGAACCGCAATCAAGAAAAAAAGCAAATTAAATATCTTGGCAAGAGAGTCATAATATATACAGCTGTAGACCATTGCCGAAAAAGTAAGAACCAATGTCCCATAAACGAAATAGGACATCACGTTTAGTTGAAAATTTTCATCAAGAAAGTCGTGTCCAACCAACTTGAGAAGTGAACGCTCCCATTCAAAAATGCAACGATTAAATCGATTATATGCTTCCATTTTCAATTCTATATGAAACTTGGAAATTTGATATTGAAGACTAAAAAAATAATAGACTGATTCTGTTTAGAGATTAATCGACACTGAACACGTATTTCTAAGTTTGTGTATCAAAATAACCGCGGAAAATTTATAGAAATATCATTTTGCTGTTGTAAAGGTTTTTCTCATCAAATTCGATCATTATATGACTACTAGGGTGGACCAAAAAAAAAAGTATTTAATTTTCAACATTCCAGGTCGGTTTTATCATGTTCGGGGCCTAAGAACACGATATGGACCGTTACTTTGTTCAATTGGAAAACCCAGGCGCTACAAATCCATTTGGTAGATTCCTCGGCGGGCCATCTTGGTGACATTTGAAAGTCTTCTAATTTCTTAAAAAAATATGTAAAAAATAGGTAGTAGGAGGTTTTTTGGTACGATAAAACCGAATCTGACGTTAATTTTGCGATACGACCAATTTTTAATACATTTTTCATACATAAATCAACAAAAATGACGATTTTGTATGGGACCTATACTTTTATCGTATCGTAATGTCGTGAAACTTTGCACAGGCTATTTAATTCATAAAAAAATAATAACATTCTGAAAGTTTGAACAAATTCCAAAAAAATCAGGGGTACCTCCCATACAAAATTTCGGACCAATACAAAATATGTACGGATATACGACAGTGTTATTTCAGCGGTCATTTCCAATTGAACAAAGCAACGGTCCATATCGTGTTTTTGAGCCCCGAACATGATAAAACCGGCCTGGAATGTTGAAAATTAAATACTTATTTTTTTTGGGCCACCCTTATGACTACGGGAATACACACACATTGCATTTTATAGTTGTTTTGGATTTTTTTACTTTTCCACACACTTAGTGTGAGAAAGGTATTGTATTTGGCCGAAAAACCAAATCACAGTGTTTTCTTTGGCAAGAGAAAACCGAATTTCTATTTAGTTTTGGGATGCAAATAATTTGTAGCAAAATTTTCATACAAAAATCTCCAAAAATGTGTATTTTTCTATGCGAGCCATGCCGGTATGATATAGATTATATGTATATTATGGATAGCTCCCTTACAAACATTTTGGTTTTTGAGCCAAGGTACACTTATTTTTCATTGAAATTTCATCAGACTTTGTACGATTATGTATTTTGGTAAGATTGATTGCATTTTGTTTCTGTTTATTCTCAAAATATCAGTTTCCACGAGGAAAAATCAGCTTATGTACGTAGGCCTCTTTATTTTTTAAAAATTGTTATCATATGTTTTGGAAAATAAATTTCACAGAAGTATCGACGTGTCGATTTTTTACGCGAAAATGTTATCGAACAAATTACAGAATTCGTTTGTTTTCCTATATATTCAATTTAATTGCGCATTCTTCCTATAATTACAATTATTGAGCGAATGAAAACATTATTTGTAAACAAAACAACTGCGATCGTTGTTCAAAGGGTCCAAAGGGTTTAATCAAATATTCATGAACAAAACTGAAAAATACTAATATAATTTAACCCTAAATTTATTTTTTGTTAAATGAAAAAAATCAGTGGTTTCTTTATTTACTGATTTCATAAAAGCAATAACAAGATTATGATTTACAAACTAAAGATTAAAGAGTATTGAAATCAGTCTACGACACATGACATGATTGATCATATTTAATTATAGTAGCTACAAAGTCAACTTCCCCAATTTAACACAGAATTGAGACAAAGAATTTCTCTTATGTTGAAACTTGATTTTTTCTGCCAAATCGAAATTACATTTATTTAAATAGATTCTAAAACAACTTATGTATCCTTTGTTCAGTCTCAAGTTAAGGAATAAGAGTAGAATTCTATTTAAATCAATTTGATTGACACTATCGTGCTATAACATTCATTTAATTATATAAAAAAATCAATTGATTTTACCATTTTCTATGATACAAACTATTCATAACCGCAAAAGTATTATTCAAGTTCAAGATTAAATCATGGACTAATTCAATTAATCTTCATTCTTTCTACTAAAACTTTCATTGAATAAGAAACAATATGCACAGTAACTTTCAACATTGTTATAACTCATTTCCAAAAATCATAAAATTAAACACATTTGTTTGATTAAATCTTAAACAATTTAATAAATAAGCCATTGTACCAATATTAATATTTTTTTACTGTATTTGTTGGTTCTAAAAATTGGTAATACAAAGGCAATAATTTCATTTTCGCACACCAAATACAAATAATTCTACAAAAAATGATTCCATATCTAATCCATATAAAGTTGCTTTGAAATGATTCTCTGTCATTTGAATTTTGTTATGAAAAACAATGGCCCATGGTGACTAAAATGAAGAAGTTTTTATCAAACAAATGAACATGATAAAATGAACAGAATGAAAACTTACATCTGAATTCAGTGTCAAATAAGTAATTTTTATTTGAGGATCATAGAAGTTAAAAGTGAGTTCGTGGTGTTTTAATTTTTTTCGTGTGCCATATCCATTTTGTGCATAAATTAAAAAGTCACCCGTCGTTCGGTTGCCAAACTCAAAAACGCGCTTCTTCTGGTAACTCAATTTCCGAGAATTGTCCATGCAAAGCACTGCATATGAACGTGGCTTAACTATTTTAAAATCAAAAAGCCAATCCAAATCTTTACCGACTTCAAATTTAAAACCAGGTATTCCGTAAATTTCTATCGTTGAAATAAAATCAGTCGCATTCTCAATGCGCACACTTGCGTCCACAAAACGATATTGTGAAACATCGATGTTTTTGGAAAAGTTTATGCTTGCATTACTTTGCTAAAATTACGTATATATCATAATTAAATTGGAATTTTTCATATAATCATCATGCATTAAAATAAAACTTACCTGATCACCATTCACATCCAATTGAACATAATGAATTATACCACTAATGCCAGAATTTAAATATTTGTAAGCAATCGTGTAATTCTGTCTTTTATCCGAGTTCCTTCTAAATAATTCTTGTTCGTGCAACAAACCTTAAAGATAAGAACAATGTTAGAACTGTTGAAAAAATGGTTTATTAATAAGTACCTACTTTCTCCTAACTGATCGTTTCCACATCTATGCCGTGATGAATGACATTTATTTAGTGCCAGTAGAATCACAAATATTGTTTGCAGTTTCGACATCATGGAACTTCCATTCAATACTAAACACATAAATATTCATCTCTTTATCAATTGTAAGACTCGCTATTACAAGCTGTAAACTGTTTTTTTAGTATTTTTCTTCATTTTGTGCCATAGCAATATTGTTGCAAGCATAAGCTATCGCAAGATAGGAAATAGTCAAGTATATCTCATTAATTACAGTTTCAGCTCCATTTTATTTATAAATCATCTGTGTGAAATAACTAAATGATTTAAAACACATCAAAACAATATCATGACATTAAAATGTACATATATGACAATTTTGTGTAACTTAATAAATTGCACTTTTTATAATAGGGCTTTCAATCAATCAGAAAAACAAGTTTTTATATGGCAAACGCAGGGCGTATGTTCAAAACTTTTTGTATTCGAACAGCTAAGTTCATTTTATAATTGATCTCATGGCAATTAATCAATAAATAACATCTCAATATACTTCCTCAATTCGTTAGAAAACTAATATTTTTGTTTGAAAAATTGAATTCACTCGAACGATACATTTAATTAAAATGTGAAGACGATTGTGCACAGGCAGCTGTTTGTACTTGATTTGTCATCAATAAAAATCGTCAATTGTTTGCTATCAAATAATTTTTTTGGTTTTGGTTCAATTAGGTTTTTCATTGCCACAACTAAATTCACATAAAAAGAATTGCAGTCGCAATGAAAAATCTTATTCTGTTTGAAAACTTCAAAACTGAAACTCGATTAAGCGTGTGATAGATTACACAATTTTTGAGTTGATTAAGTTAAATATTATTTAGTGAAGCTACATATTAAAATAATGACAATATTGTGTGAAATCGTTTTTGAACGAAATCCATTGAAAGTATTTTATTCAGGCCGACCGTTATGTGGTTACGTGCATTTAGAGTTGAAAAATCATCAAGATATTCACGGTATTCATATCAAACTCAATGGAATTGCATTAGCAAGCTGGAAAATTGGCCAAACTATTCAACGATACACAGAAGATTGTTTGAATTATCAAACATGTATTCTAGGTAATTTCAAATACATCTACCATGTAACATGAAAAAATTCTATTGAATCGATTGCATTCGTTATTATTAAATTGATTCAGGTGAATCCCATTTGATTGCTCGAAAGTATAAATTTCCATTCCAATTGCCACTACCAACAAAACTCCCATCATCGTTTGAATCAGAAGACGAATTTAGTTTCATTCGATATAACGTTACGGTTTTAATGGATATTCCATTTCAGGAAATCAAAGAATTAAATGAACGAGTTACAATTCGTCGAATGATTGATGTCAATGACCCAGATCTAAAGGTAGTTGCGATTTTTCTACACTTACAACAATTCGATCCAAACAAATTTGAAATAATATTGGTCATTGCGTTGTGCCTGCCGTTTTTAATAACGGAAATATTTTTATTTTTACTTTTTTCAGAGAAAAGTATCGGTGTGTGATGGTTTCAATCCGTATTTTATTCTGTCATGTTTGCCTTGGTTTCCGGTGAAAATCGATGCTCACGTGGAGCTTGGCATATATGCTTGTGGAACAGTCATAGATGTGGGAGTGAATGTGACGAACACAAGTTTTCGCAAGGTACGGAATTTCATTATACAGCTAATCAAGGTAATTGATATTTTCCTTTGATTTTTTTAAAACTTGAAATGTAAATTGAACTTTTTTTCACCTCACAGGAGGTCGTTTATTTTTCATATGATCAAACGCGTAAACGGAAATCAATTATAGTGTTGGGTGAGACAGGAATGCGTGGCTGCAATCAAAATCAAAAATATCCTATTTGTCTAGGATGTCAAATAAAAGTCCCTCAAACGTCTCCGTCTGACTGTTCCAGTATGATTATCAAAGTTCGTCATTTTATTAAAGTATGTTTGCAGTGTGCACACGTGTGTATAACTGTATATATTCAAAAACATTTTTATTTCTAATTTGTAGATAATTGCCGTAATGGGCCGAAATTATAAGCCAGCACTAGAATTACCAATTGTAATCGCTGCTCTTTCGAATGTTCAACAGAATGTGTCACCAATTTAAATTAAAACTAATTAAAATACAACGTGGTTTGAAAATTAAGGAAAACAATGTTAATCGCAACTTTTTAGTCCACGTCTATCGGAGAATTTCTTAAATTCGTGCGTGTATTTTCACCACATTTTTTCATTATGATTTACAATCAATTCATATACAGTTATACACAGTGTGCACACTTAAATATTTATATTAAATACAGAAACAGTTCAACGAATATTTTTAAATGGTTGTAACACTATCAACAACAACAAATGACCACTGTGATGTTTAGGTGCTGACCTTAAAATCAAACATTTAAAAAAATAATATTTATTTTGTATGAGTGTTGATAACAATTGTATACGTTTTTTTACTCGCTTATCAATTCAACTAAGAACATGTCAATTTGAAAGCATGTTTGTCATTCATTTCCGTCCCAATTCTGATTTCTTTGAGTTACGTCCATTTACGTTCACTATTGTTACTGGAATTTCAATCACGGGCCTACATTTTTTCTTCATTACAGCAGTTATCTGTATGATATAAAAGAAAATTGTGAATAAAATGAGTTGTTCCGTCGTAAAGAATAGTCAAAATCCATACTCGTATGAAATGTCGAATTTTGATGACTTTACTAACTAAATCGGTGGCAGATGTTGGTGGAACTTCAACGTAACATCCAAAACAAACGGTATATTTGTGATTTTGAAGGCAACCACGCAACTTAACTTCTTTTAATATTTCCACTGATTGAAGCACTGGAACATAAGTCACTTCCTAAAAAAGAAATCAAGTTGAAAAATGTGTGACCCAATAAATTCGGTGCTCAGTTTCACCTTGATCAATTGTGCAAGGAATCCACGTATTTGACAGAAGCTTCTGTTTGTAACATTTATCTCAAGTTCAATATTTGAGCCTGGTGCGTAGGCTGTGTGATCTACAGATGCATCAATTTTCAGCGGAAACCATGGCAAACAAGTGCATACAAAGTACGGGTTAAAACTTCCGGACACAGTTACTTGTTTCTGGATAATAAAAGTTTTTTTTTCTAAATCTCTCCAATTGTGTTCCAACAAAAAAAGGATTTTTTGTTAATTACCTGCAAATCCGGATCTTTTAAATCGGTCAACCTAAGAATGAATATTCGTTTTTCAAATTCTTTCGTCGATAATTTTGGTAGTACGACTGATATTGTTATGGTGTAACGTATGAATCCATATTCTCCCTGAAAGGAGCTCGGTATGCGTGCTGGAATTTCAAATTGAAATGGAAATTCATGCGCACCAGTCGCCAATCGTGATTCACCAATAATCTCGATGCGATCCTTTAGAAAATCTTCACCAAAATTTTCCGCTTTACATATTGTTATTGCGGCACCGTTAATTTTAACAAAAATCCCACGAATATTTTCATCATTTGTCAATGTTAAACGAATCGATCCGTATAATGATCGACCTGCATAAAACACTGCTTTTGAATTTTTTTCAAATAGAATTTCACATGAAATCGTCATTTTCGTAAAAAAATTATAAACAATCAACAGACTTTCAATATTTTTTTTTGAGTGGTTACTAATTTAAAAATGCAATTTTCAAATCATGCTTAGTACTTTTTTAAAAACATTCAATAAGTATTCTGTTTATGTGATGAATATAAATCGTTCAACTATTTTGCACTTTGTTCCATTTGTAAATGCGACTTGTATTGACAATTGCGCCATGCAACACTCAATTGATAGCAAATATCACATAATTTACTGATTACAGCCAAACACATTTCATTATACAATACATTGGATCATTTGCTTGTTCAGAATAAATTGAATTAGCAATTAAACCGTTGAAATTTGCGTGTATGAACACTTGAGTTATCGGAACAAAGGATGATAAAGGATGTGAGACGTATTACGTTACATTGTTGTTACTAAATACAATGTATATTTTGATCAGCAAATAATATTTTGATATTAAATAGAAATCTAGGTCGGATGATTTAAGAGAGGATATCTGACTTACACCAACTAATATAGCGATAGAAATTTTTAGTGAAACTCAAGGAAAAAATAGCAAAGATGCATTAAAAAACATTGAGCTTTCATTAATTGTACAGATGATTAGGGGTATTGATAAAAAAACCGAGGTCGCGAAATTTTGAGTACTAAGCCTAAAAAAGATGTTAACGAAAACAAAATTTTGCTGTGAATGGAGAGAGCGATTCTAACAGAAATTCATAAGCAAATTAAGATTATTTATGGCATTGATACAAATTTTTATAAATAAAACATCTGCTTCATAAGACCAAAGTTATTTTTTCGAAAAAAAAAATCGTGAAAATTTGTCAAGTTCAAGAAAAATACAGGTGTCGAATGCGTTTGACCCGTCTTTTTGCTAACTTCAGCTATTGCTTCAGTTAAAATGGTCATGATTTTTTGTAGTCGGGCTCTTGCTTTTCTGATATCATTTCCATATTTGTGAAGCAAAACAGTTTTTGAAAATTTTCATCTTTGAAATGTTTACATTTTCCCTATAAAATCAAAACGTTTAGTAAGTTCGCTTCAATGTAATAGGTCAGGATTTTGCATTAAAATTTTTACCACTAACAAGCATTCTAGATCTTGCTTCTTGGCAAGAAGTTCTTGTTCATTTAATTTATTAAGAATAAAACCCTATGGAATATACTGTCCCTGTGCTCGATTTCTTGGCACACCCGCAATGAACCACGTCGAACAAACTAACGATTCAAAATCATCCATTGGGCGTCGTCAATCCTGTATAATATAAAAATCTATGTTAATGAACGCAAAACACTTATAAAAATAGTTTATCTAGAACCGGAATAGTACGACGCTGATGCGAACATTGCTGAACATGGGCATTCCTCATAACCGTTTAATGTGGATAGATTAAAATCTGAATGATATTTAAGTTAATTTAATTAAACCCATGAGCTCTCGGAAAGTGTTTACTACCGGCAAAACAGACTTCTGAACCACGAAGAAACATATTTTCTGGTTTGATATCATTATGTAATACCTTGTTGATGTGAAGAAATTGTAATGCTTCGACCTAAAATTTAAAGATTGTGTTTGGTTTAAGTAAAAATTTGGGTAATTTATATTAAAATTTCACAGACCGCCTGCTTAAATATCGATAAAATACTAAAATCCGATAATTTTCCTTCCTGTGCCATGTAACGATCGAGGAGGGTTCCATCAAACAAGGTCATTGCAATTACATTGTAGAATCCAACGATTGGCCCATGATAATAAATTTTTGGGATTTCAGGGGGTTCCATATCCAGATTTTTTGTTGCGTTCAAAGCTTCGTAAACTTTCATTTCCTCATTCAATGATTTTTTATCGCGCACAAGTTTGTAAGCAACTGGTTTATTATCATAAATTCCTGGGCTGTGTACTCATCATTTTGCTACATAATTTTTTTTTCAAAATTTATTGTTCCAATTAAGTGAAGAGAAAGTGTAGGTAAGTGTACAACATTTTGTTTCGAAGTGTACCTGGAATTTTTTTTTTCAAAAAATCGACCCCTTTTCTTGGCCATACTCATTATTTCGTCTGGGGTAGCCATTTTCTAAATCCAACATTTTATGTAATGTATTATGGCCTTAAAAAAGTGTACATTAAGTGTAGGTAACAATTTTGCCTTCATAAACGATATTACTATGAAATTAATTGATTTGGCCATACCAGCCTTATCTGAAGGGCGAGGGGTGCCTATACTGAAAAATTTCAAATTAACTGTACGATGATTTTGTGCATGTACTTTTTGAGGACTTCAAAACTGCTTCATTTTATTTTTAAATGGATGGCCCACTAAAAATTTGAATTTTGGCCGCCATTTTATAACGGCCAAAAATTGGCCGTAGGCCGAAAAACTTTTTGGGTTTCAACCTTCGATAGGTTAAATTTTTATGTATCTTCAATTCACCAAACTCAATTTTAACTAAATGTTGCAAAGATATTGAAAATTGATTTTTTCACGTTGCACGTATAATTTTGGTAGTGTACCTTTCCATACGAGCGCACTAACAGTTTCACCAAGTTCCCCATTATTTAAAAGCTTTAAATTAAGATTCCTTAAAACAGTGTAATCCGGAGCTCCATTGGAAAATAAATGCAAAATGGCATTTTTTATGAGGTTCATTGATGTTATTTCACCCTGAGAGACAATATTTATTGTTTTTTTTTTTTGTTTAATCGTTTAACAATGAAAACTACTTTCACTTACAATCATTGTAAAGCTGATGATTAGTAGAAAATATACACGTGAATTCATCTTGATCGGTTGAGTCCCTGAATACTTTTTCGTTTCTCAATTTTAATATGAAGCAAAAATTGAACCAATTTATTCATTTACGAACTTGAATTATTTGATAAAATGTTTTAAAAAAAAAACATAGTGCAAACACGTATTGATCCTCGAATTTTGTTTAAAAATCAACAAAATTTAAAAAAGAATGCATAGAAATCTTATACAAGTACTAAGAAAATACATAAAATACGAAAAAATCCAATTGAAATATTTTAGAAATAGTAAAAACTGCAATCAATATCGCTGTATCACTTTGCTCCCAACAAAGTGTATCACTTTGCCCCCCAAGCATGTTTTCCACTTTCGATCAAATTTTTTCAACAACGTGTGGATAAAATCCAAAACACTTAATAACAACAAATAATATTCACCTTAATTCCGCCATATGTGAAAAAATTAAAAAAAATCGAAATTCTAAAGTGTGAAAAAATGGTACCAGCGTGTGCCGAAAACACAAAATTGACTGTACGACGACTCTCGTTGGTCTGACGTACTGAATGTGTCTTTGCAAAGTGTTTGCCTATTGAATACGGATTTGAATACAACGAAAGTTTGAAATTTTGCGTTGCGGTCTTTGAAATTTTCGAGGTGTATCAGTTTACCCCGTGTATCACTTTGCCCCCATTACCCCTATACATCTTTTGAAGAAGTAGAACATTTTTCAGTCTCACTCGTTTCTGCCCCACGTTTTTAGTTCGAGTTTCAATGTAAAGATCATTTGAACTCTGCATTCCCATAATTCCTCAGGATATGTTGTATCAAAAGAATTTTCCCGATCGAAACTTTCAAAAAGATAAATATGTTACAGACAACATATTGAACTAACTGGTCATTGAGCTGACAGAACGTTAGCTAGCTAAATGGTCTAAAACAATAGACGTTATTGTTTTAATGATGAATCACTTCTCTTGTTTTAATAGAAGTGATTGTTCATTATAACAATAATTTCTATTGTCTTAGCCCATTTAGCTGGCTAACGTTCTGTCAGCTCAACTGACCAGTTAGTTCAATATATTGTCTGATATGTTATTTGCAGATTGCCTCTAAGAATCCGAAAAAAGTGTTCACATTGATAGCTTGAACCTTAAGTTATACGTGGTACAACCAAACAAATCGAAAACGATTTTGAAGCTAGTTGTTACCAGTAGTTTTCTACTTTTCTAGTTTGGTGGATAGCCCCTTGTGACAAATTTTCACGAAATTCGCTCCGCAAAAATAATTTTAAGTTTTATTTATATAAAAAATGTATCGTTTTTTTAATATCAGAAATTATCTTAGCTTGCCTAAGAATTCTCTGTTAGAATCGCTCTCACCGTTCATAACAAAATTTCTTTTTCGATAGTATAATAGTTTTTTTATATACAGGGTGTCTCATATATCAGGCTCACTATGAAGGAGTGAAAATTTCTAAAAACCCTTTGGGGGGTATGTTGAGGATAAAAAATAAAAAATTTCTATCTGAGCAGAATTTTGATTTTTTCCCCAGGGGGGGGGGGGTGATGCTTTGTTAGCACGCTTTTGATTGCTATTGTTATTTGTCTGACAAACTAGTGAAAAGATCTGGCGAAGCATTATTGATAGCGCACGTCCTCATCCTTCTAGCGTTATGCTTACAGATTTTATGTATATGTAATTTCAAGTTATGCACAGTGCTTTTATCATCACATCTTTTAGTAGCATATAGCAGATGTTCCGATCCACATAAGTGTAATATGTAGAAAAACGGAAGAGAAGAAGGTTGTTTACTTCCAACTAATGTGGCGACAGTAATTTTTAGTGAAGTACAAAGAAAAAAAATATGCTGCTTTGGAAAAATGACACATTATGGGAAAATGATACGTATTTTATACAATTGAAGCTCATATTTCTATCCTGAAGAATCTAATCATATGGAAGTGGCATGTACTATGAACGGGCACGTGTACATTTTTCAATGACTTACAGATAAATTGTAACACATCGTAATGAGTTATAATTTATTTTACATTGTATCACAAATGCATATGCTAGAATAAAAACCCGAATTGAAATAAAAATCTATAAATGTGAAACACAGTGTTTTTTTTATTTGATATCCCTTGTGGAAATATTTCGACTTCATAGTCGACAAAAATGGCTGATATTTCAGCCAGCTAAAGTTAACTATAAGTGAATATATGCGTCTTCGTGTAATTTGAGTTGAGAAATGTCGATTGTGATCACAGCTAACTACGGTTAACTACAAGTATATGAAATTGACTTTTGTGTTTGTTGACTATAATCAGTTTTAGTTGACTCTGAAACATAACCGACTATATTCCTAGGGGTTTGCATGTATTTTTATTGGATAATATTTGCGTATTATCGTTGCGTATTGGCATATCGGTGAAATATCGGCAGATCGGTGAAATATCGGCATATCTGTAAAATATCGTTAATATTCGGGTATTTTTTGATACTTAATTGTTCTGGAAGTGGGTTTTGGTGGATCCACAGGATCATCAGAACCGCTCCCAGTTCTGGAAGTGGTTTTTGGTGGATCCTCTGGATCGACCAGACCATGGTTTGACAATGCCCTGACCCATCCTGAGGGTCCACTTCCAGACCTGGGAGCGGTTCTGAACGATCCTGAGGATCCACCAAAGCCCACTTCCAGAACAAAGACACTTCGCATATCGGCGAATATCGGTGGATTTTTGGCACAAAATAGTGAAATCGGTAAAGATTTGCATGATTTGTAAAAATTTGTATTATTTGTTATACTGTTGTTTATTCGTCGAATTCGTGAAACAAAATCTTACATGAAAACCCCTAGCTATATTCGATTTCAATCATCTATTGGTAATTTTAACCGAATAAAAGTGATTAAAATTGACTTAATTTATAGTCAGTCATTTTTTTTTTTACAAGGGATGCTCTCTACTCAAAGTTTATTGCAATGTTACACCCCCATAAAAAGAGTGTTGACTTTACTAGTTATATTTCAATAAAATCTCAGGAGAAGTCTCACATTCATCCTCGGACATTCCAATATGGATAGGATCGCAACAAAAAATACTTCGTTCCACTTTTATAGATTTTTATTTCAAGTCGAGTTTTTATTCAAACCCAATCATATTTCAAATCACATTGGACAAATGATGTTTCCATGTTCCATTAGGGTGGCCCAAAAAACAAGTATTTAATTTTTAACATTCCAGGCCGGTTTTAGCATATTTGAGGCCTAAAAACACGATATGGACCATTGGTTTGTTCAAGTAGGAAACCAGGGCGCTACGAATTCATTGGGAAGATACCTCGATGGGGCCGCCATTATTTGCAGTGACGGCATCTACAAATAAAAAAATAGCTTATTTACAGATCATAGTATCTGTATTTAAAACATTTCTTTATTTACAGTCACGACTGCAAATAAGCTATTTTGTTATTTACAGTCACCACTTTTGCCATTGAGAGATCGAATGAGAGACACCGTTATTCAGTTTTTCTTTTAGTGCACAAATATTTCAATTTAGTTTGTCATGATGACGTTCAATGTTGGTACGGAACTCAATTCGTTTTCTGACTTTAAAAAGGCGTTGAGTGAATACGAAAAACAGGAATTCTGCGTTTTTTCTGTAGGTTCAAGTAAATTATTAGATCAAACGGTGACCACTAACATCTTATCTGAATAACGGTGTCTCTCGAGCAAGAGAGTGTACATTGAAGGTTTGAAACAAAAGTGTTCGGCCAAGATGCGACTTTTTTTTATGCATCGTTCACATTGTCACTTCCGAATCCCACGAAAATATATATTTTTTAAATAATGAAATGCCATTGAGAGATCATTCGATCTCTCAATGGCAAAAGTGGTGACTGTAAATAACAAAATAGCTTATTTGCAGTCGTGACTGTAAATAAAGAAATGTTTTAAATACAGATACTATGATCTGTAAATAAGCTATTTTTTTATTTGCAGATGCCGTCACTGCAAATAATGGCGGAACCTCGATGGACCCATTTTGGTGTACGTAGTGGGGAGTTTTTTGGTGCGAGAAAACCGAATCTGGCGTTATTTTTGCGATACGATCAATGGTTAACACATTTTTCATACAAAAATGTGAAAAAATCACCAAAAATATGAACTTTTGTATGGAAGCTAAGCCTGTATGACATCGTAATGACGTGAAACTTTGCACAGGCTATTATTTTCACAACAAAATAACATTCTGAGAGTTTGAAGACATTTGAACAAAAAACAAGGGTACCTCCCATACAATTTTCTTTAAAAAACGAAAATTTAGCAAAAATGTGGCTAGTTTTGATTCAAATTTCTCCAAACTCTCAGAATATCATTTTTTTATGGAAAAATAAGCTGTGCAAAGTTTCACGTCATTGCGTTTTCATACAGGTATATCTTCCATACAAAATCCACATTTTTTGTGATTTTTTCAGATTTTTGTTTGAAAAGTGTATCAAAAATTTGTTGCATTATGAAACTAACATCATAGTCGGTTTTCTCGTACCAAAAGTGGGAGTTCCCCACTACGTATTTTTGAGAGTGTAAATATACTTTTTCTTGACTTTAAAATTGCTTCAAATTCATTAATCGAGAGAAGTGAAGTTTCACATCATTATAATGCAAAACACACATTTTTGAGATTTCTGTTTGAACATTTCAAGAAAAAGTGTATTTTCCAATCGATTTTTTTTGGGCCACCCTAATGTTCCATGCCTCGTGTTACTGTCGTAGTTCATCAAACTTATGTAGCATGATACATGCTTATAAAAGAAGATAAAAATTATTGTACTTAATTCCAACAGGATGAGATATGATGCAATAAGAATGCATTTTATATAAAAGGACCGAACACTTGCATTAAAATTAGTTTCGAAGTAAAAATAAAGCTGTAAAATGACTATTCGAATAACTTTTGTTCGTTTGCTTTTGTCTTTATTGAATTTAGTGAACATTTCGTTTGCAATGGTTAGCAATTGTACGTATTTGAACAACAATACTGAGTCTGTGCAAATAACATGCGGATTCATAGTAAGACACGCGCCACCGCTATTTATGCATCAAAGTAACATACGTGAATTATACAGAACACCCAGTGATTTCGACGCAATTTATCCACAAAATGGTTGCTACTACGATTTATTTAAAAGTGCTTTAAAAAAAGAAAACAAACAAAAGATCAAAGTAATAAAGGGATCATTTTTATGTGACATTGATGACGCTTTACAGTTCGAAAATGTTTGCGAATTGGACTTTTCGTCTATTAGCACATCCCTGCAGTATTCAAGTTATCAATTTAAAAATTTAACGAAACTGAATATATCAAATAATGATTTGGGTTCATTGTTCTTGTGGATTTTCCAAAATATGCCGGATTTAACAGAACTTGATGCCTCATATAATAATATTAACTATATTCGAGGAGCAGTTATAAATCAAAAGACAAAGCTATCAATAATGAACATTTCACATAATGAATTGACCATTGTAGACGAAATCACATTTATTGGTGTGACAAAGCTAAGAATTCTGGACTTGAGCTTTAACAAAATTTCTTCTTTGAATGCAAACACATTTGTATCAAACGTGGATTTGGAAACACTACTGCTGGGTAATAATCCATTAAACATGCTTAGTTGCAATGTATTTGTACCGTTGAAAAAATTGATAACGTTTGATGTGACAATGAACGGACTTTCAGTATTGGATCTTAGTTGCACGAATTGCTCAATGTATGCTTCAAAAAGTGTATCCGGTGAAGTTGACATACGCTTATCAAAAGTTCATGAATTACATTGCAAAAAAGAGCATCTGAACAGTTTAGAACAATTTTGTATGTCGTTAGGATATGGAATTAAAAACGAGGCGGAAATATTTGAAATACTTCCATCGTCTTTGCAAACATTGGATTTATTCGCAACGAATACAACCGAAGTGGACTGTAATCTTTTTAGTAAATTCTATGATTTGAAGAATCTCAATTTAATGAGTTCGACTTTGAAAAACTTTGGACCAAACACATTCGTACATCAAACAAAAATAACGAGTCTTCTTCTTTCCGGGAACAATTTGAAAAGTGTAAATTGTACGTCATTATTTAAGCCATTACAGAGCTTAAAGTCATTAGGGATTGCAAACACTCAACTCAAAAATATGGCAGATATTCTAGAATCAATTACATCATCAATTTTATGGCTTGACTTGTCACAAAATTACATTGGAAAAATCGATGTAATGACATTTCAAAAATTCAACAATTTGCAATATCTAAATTTAAGCCGAACAAATCTATCGAATTTTGAATTTTCGACATTTTATCATCAGACGAAACTACAAACGCTAGATCTCTCTTATAATTACTTGGAAAGTATCGATTTTACTTTATTCGCCGGAAATTTTCGTCAGTTACGTGATTTGTTTTTGGAAGGTAACAATTTACACGAAATAAACACCATCATACCATCAGTTTTCCCAATTTTAACCACTTTAGCGATATCCAAAAATCAATTGCCATGTAAATATGTGGTAAGTTTTTTGAATTATTGGAAGCACCTCAATCTGATTGAAAATCCGTCAAATCAAACAAATGTTAAAGGTATTGATTGCATAGTCGCTTCAAATGACACATCAACAAAAAGCAAAAACAACATTATTATGACACATTCAATGCATCCGCATACTATCGTAAAGTACGAAGCAAGGCATACTTACTCTGTTCCATTACCTATTGATTAATTTCCATTTTTTCCATTCTTTTCTTCTGATCAACTCTAGGTACGAAGACTCGAACATTATGAAATATTCGATGTTATTTTTGTGCGCAATGTGTTGCGTATATTTGGTGGTAAAATCAAAAGTTGTCGTACAAATTAGAGAGAAACTGGCCAAAATTTCACTTGAAAATAATGGACCTCATCAGAACCAACATGGAATTTCATCGTCGACATCAACATTTGCACTAATGAACGACGACGTCTTATAGAATTGATGATTTGAATTTGAACATTTTACAAATTTGTGTATTAATATACAGTGCCGTCAGAAAATTTGAGACCAAGCTCATTTTTTTCATACAATTTCATACAAATTGACGATTTTTTGGAGCAATATTTAATATATTTCGAAAATAGCTAGACCCATAATTTTTTGTACACTTATTATTTTATTCACGGAGAGTAAACTAGTGAAGTTTTGCCAAAAAATATCTACGCGTTTAAAAAATATCCGAGGTTTGCACTTTCAAGTGTGAAAAATGACAAATTTTGTATGAAAAATAATCCTTTTTCACACTTGAAAGTGCAAACATCGGATATTTTTTAAACGCGTAGATATTTTTTGGTAAAACTTCACTAGTTTACTCTCCATAAATAAAATAATAAGTGTACAAAAAATTATGGGTCTAGCTATTTCCGAAATATATTAAATATTTCTCCAAAAAATCGTCAATTTGTATGAAATTGTATGACATTTTTTTGCTTAGTCTTAAACTTTCTGACGGCACTGTATGTATTTTTAGGTCCTGCGTGACAAAAAATATAATAAACTTATTGTGTGCATGGCAAAAAAACTTTTTCTGTTATTTATCTCATTCACCAGCTCAAACGAAGCTATTCTGTTAGATAATGCATCCAAAACCAAATGGAACAAATAATCTATGGTTCATTTTTAATCGCTAAGCTTACCATATCACCAGAACCTTGAAAACATTTAAAAAAGTAATTACATTCAAAATGTGGTTTCTATATGATATCTCATATGAAAACCACAAAGATAAAACGCCTCAATTTGTTTTGGTGGTTTTGTGTTTTAATAATTTTTAATTTCTATTTAATGGCTTTAAAATTTCAAATGGAATTCAAGTGAGAGTTCAAATCATCTACTGAGAAGGCTGATGTAGATTCTAAATGTAGACAAGGAACAGCGCGCGTTCAAATAATATAACACATCATTTGAATGATCCATTTGCGTCCGTCTATATCATCCATTCATTTGCATCGCCTATACATATATGTACGACCTTCTCGTTCTCGTTGGTTACTTTAATTGACGTTTCGTTGCTTACGCTCAACCAAATGCACAATCCACCACATGAACAATAGAAGAATAACACCCAATGCCAAAATATGCAAACCACCAAATTCAATCAAAAATTCGGCCGTATAAAACGCCTCCTCGCGTCTCAATGTTTTAAATAGATCATCTTTGAAGTAAATTGTAACACGGCTGACTTTGCTCTCGTCGCGTCTACAAAAAAAAAAATAAAGCAAATATTTAATATGACCTAGTCATTGCCTTCAATAACAAATAAGTGATGGACAATTCACCTTTGGTAATTCAAATCTGCATTAATTCTATTGAATTCATCAAATTCTCGTTCAGATATCTCCACCTTATAATCAGTAGATGTACAAGCTGGTAGACAATTGCATTCTTCCATTGTACTTCTTCTGAGCAATTCGGCTTCAGCATCGCGATAGCATTGCATTCTGCCAGCACCACAAATGCTCATCTCTTCACCTCCTGTTGAATCGAAAAATCATTTTAATTCATTTCCATGCATAAGATTACTTTCCAATGTGAATAAAATATACAACTTACTTGGCAAGTTGAATTTAACGCATCCACAACGCCAGTATGTGAAATTGGCGGCGCATTCCATGTCGCAGTGATGTTGAGTGTATGTTTTGAAATAGCGCAATTTCCGTTCCGAATCGTAAGTGCATTGTCTCCGTTTCGGATTGAAATTGCGTAATTTTTCCGATGTGGTGATCATTTGTGGTTTGACTAAAACTTTAACATCCTTTCCCATTGGGATGCGGAAGAAGTTTGTTGTGCGTGGCATTTCATCGGGTGAATGAAGTATGAATTTTGGCTCTTGTACCCAACGTCGTGAGAATATATCCAATTGATCTTTATCAAAGAAAATGGAAATGGCCAATCCATTGTTTTGTCCTTTGCGTAAAACCCGGTATGGATATGCTTCTGGGTCTCGATCATTTTCGTCGTAATCATCTTCACGACTGGCACGTCGTACAAGTGGCGATGCCATGCTACAAATTAAAAAAAAAAAACAATGATTTATGCATTTCACATGACATATTTGGATAAAATCCAAAGAACTTTTTTGGATATTTGGTAAACAAACTCACTGTTGTGTAAATATCTCGTATGAACTCAATAGATTCTAAAAGTAGACAAAAAAAAAACAAAATTACATAAAACAAAATTGCATTAAGCGTAAAATGTTTGTTTAGTAAATATTACAAATGAGAAACATTTTCCCTCTTCCGTAATGATAGGTCGGAAATTGGCATTGCATGCAATTTTATCGTTGAGCCATTTACATCCTTTCGTATATTCGGTAATTCGGTTTGAAATCAAACCAAAAATTCCAAATTGATATTCTTCGCGACTGAATCGCTCCAGAAATTCGGGACTTCGTACCGATCCAACAATATCTTCGGGATAAATTTGGAATAACGTTTCCATGGCATATTTTCTGAATTATAAAAAAGAAAACAACCGAAATCGTTTTTGAGCGAATTGTTTTTCTAAAAGAGATATAAAATAAGATTGGATCATAAATTGCACGTACTCGTCCAGTTTAAGTTGTGGCTCGCGATAAACTTGCATCAAACGAAGTAGATGTGTGAAATTGAGTGGTGGATAGCCGGCTCTGGTTCCTGGGCAAATGGTCCTATGGCATATATTGAAGCATATAATTAGCTTTGAAAAATTGGTCAAATAGAAATGAATACGTACACAGCCGGGAATGGAATTGCGCCAATAGACATCACTTTGTCATCTGGTCGAACTTTTACCAAGTATTTGGACCAATAGAAAAAGAGGTGGGTTAACAAACCGGATGCCAAGCATAAAATAAACAAACCGCCTAAGATAATTGTTGTTTTTATATGATTACCACACCATTGGCATCGTTCTTTCTTTCCGCGACGTTCATCCTTTGAAGTAATAGTTGAAATTTTTGTTTGAATTTGAAAATAAATATTTTTAAAAGAAAATAATTCATGTGCTTACATCGTTGTCACCGCTTATATCATAATCACTTCCTCGGCTGACTGCTTTTGATACGGTTTCGGGAACATATCTGTCATTACCTTCACGACTGTAAATGTCAAACACAAATATTTGCGTATCACGTGAAGAAGTAGAAAGTAAGTTTTCGTAAGTATAATAAAAAAAAAATTACGTTTGTGGTTTACGTCCTCCCCCAAAGGCTCGACCCAAACGGAAAATACAATACAATATTGCCTCGAAAACTACCACCAGAATAATGGCCAATATAACGAAAAAGACCACATAAAAGCTTTTCAAAAAATCTAACACCGTGAACTGTATTCGAACGTTCGGTATAAACTTTTCATCCTTGAATGATATTAATAGTTGACTCCTTTCTTCATCTTCACGCCTTTCGGATCGGAAACCAATAAAAAGAAAATGCATAAATCAGTTCGTATCGATCTTAAGTGAAATCTGTAATACGTCAATATTGATAAAATTACCTTGGAGTCTGAAAACCGAGTTTACCTTTAATTAAATTTTTATTTACTTTCAAACCTTTCGCTTTGATTTCGACATTGTATTTAATCGAAGCGCATGCAGGAAGACAATTGCACTTTTTCAAGTAAGACGATTGCCAACCAAAATTGTCAGCTAATCTCCATTCGGCATCATGGTAGCAACGCATTTTTGCTACACCGCATATTCTTGTACTGTTATCTCCTGTAAATGTGAATAGTTTACGATGTATTTGAAATTTTATTTTTGTTTGCATTCCGTAGTTTTTCTTTGAAAATACAAAAAAATTTCGCGTAACTTACTTGGCATGCTGAATTTGACACATCCGCATCTGGTTTTAGTAAAATTGGCTAAACACTCAATTTCACAGTGACGCTGTGTGTAAATTTTGAAGAATCGAAGTTTGCGTTCGTCATTGAAATAACATTGTCGTCGCCATGGGCTAAAGCTTCGTAAATCGTTCGATGTAACAATGATGTTTGGCTTAACCGATACTGAAACTCGTTTGCCAATTGGGATATGGAAATAATGCTCTCGTTCTGGCAATTCATCGGGCGAATGCAGATAAAATTTTATGTCTCGTGCCGACCGATTACATAGAGGATCCAATTCATCTCGTGGAAAATAAATTGAGATGTTCAATGCATTATCGGGTCCCGCACCAGACACACGATACGGATAGATTTTTGAGTCCGTATCGAAAACACGGAATGGATAATGTTCAGAAGCCGTTTCAGTATCAGTATAACCAATTTCTCGATTCCAATGCGTTGCATTCAAACTGTTTTTCCAATTGCGAATCAGCGGGAACGACATACTAAAAGAGCCAAACAAATTCGATTATACAAAAAATCTTTTTCAAAACATGAGCAACATATTTTTTATTGAGATAAACAGAGTCGCGGGATTTTTATCCTCCCCTTTTTTTTGAAATGAAGGGGAATTCTCTAGTTTTCACGCTTTGACCTTGAGCGAACGAATCAATACAAACGTCAAATGGAGGCGAGTTTTCTCCATGACAACACTTTTCATACAAATTCACACAAAAAAATAATGATTATTATTATTTGCAAGAATTTGTTGTAAATGTTTCCCAATAATAGCAAATAATCAAAACAATGCAAATATTTATTCTTCAATAGCAAAACTAACCTTTGTGTGAATATTTCGTAGGAATTTAGAAGATTCTGAAAAATGTTGGATGAAAAAGAAAACAATGTACAACATTTTTTTTTATCATGAAAAATTCACGGCAAGCAAAAAAATGGCAAACAAAAATTATGTATTCAGAAAAAAAAAATGTTATTTTTACAAATGTGTAACATCGTCCCTCGTCGGTGATAATTGGTCGAAAATATTCATCGCATGAGGTGCGTCGATGCCAAGCACAAAATTTTGCATTTTCATCGATATCGCATGCAATCGAATTAAAAGCTTCAATTTGATCGTCTTCATCAACGAAGCGCTCGAGTATGTCCCAATTCCGTACCCGTCGAAAGATATCCCAGTCGCATAGTTGAAATAGCGTTTCCAATGCAATTTTCCTGTAAAATAAATCCAGGTCATAAAAATTGAATATTGCATGTAGTGTTTGTAATACAATAAATGACCTTCATACTTTCTTGGTCGTAATTTGGGCTGTGCTTCAGTTTGCATGAGAAATAATGTGCGATTGAAATTATTTTTCGGATAGCCACTTCTTATTCCCGGGCATATCGTGATGGCCGGGAATGGAATTGTTCCAACCGACGCATATTTTTCATCGGGACGAACATTTGCATGAAAACGTATGATTAGCACCACCAAAGACAACACCAACGCAATGCATACGGTTATGGTTATCGTCATCGTTTTTTGATTCCACTGACAACATTTTTTTTGCGCACCTTTTTCCGTCGTCATTGTTTCTTGTGTCAAAAATGAGTCCTGACTCTCACCCATTCGATGTTTTATTCCCTGTTTTTTTTTTTTTTTTTTTTTTTCCAATCAATAAAATAGTCACAATTATTTCCATATTCCATTGGAATTTTGCTATTTTTATTTTCTTAATTTTCAATTTATATCACTTGAACTATAATTGAACCGTATATTTTTTTTGCTATCGTTTCAAACACAACTCACTTGATATTTGCTGCTTTTTTCAACTTCCTGATGAAAATTGAAGTCTTTTCCATTTCTTGCTGCCTTTGACATGTCTTTTCAGGTACGTCGTTTCTTCAATGAATTTCCTGTAAATTGATCCCAAAACTCTGTGGATTAATTGGACAAGTATTCAGTCGTTCAAAGACCGAGTTGCATAACTCGGAAAAAATGTCCGTTTTCTAAAAATACTTTTTCGTCACCGTTATTTTCCTTTTGTTTTTATTTATTTTCTCGTGGAAAATTTCACAACAGAATTTCTGTTATTTTCCTTTGAAAAACTGAATCACCATCATTATCTTCATCTGTGGACATTTCACAACAATGGATTTCGGATTTTGGAATTTGAATAAATTTGTGTGTTTTTTTAAAAAAAATATATATATATTTATGTGTTTTATATGATTTGAACTAATTTCTCTGCAGCAAAAAAAAAATATTTCTATTTAAAATAAATGGGACCAGCCATACACAGAGCACAAACGATATGAATTCCCAAGCAAGACTGACATTTGCGTCGAATTCGAGATTTTCATATACTTGATGTTTTGGATTGTCCTTGACATGAAAAATTCTCGCGTTACACGGATGCTGACGCAAATCTCGCTCTCATCGCTCTCGATGTTTGTTGTATGTGGTGCGTTTGTGTTGTCTTCACACCATCCATCGGGATAAAACGTAAACAAACCAGCGTGCGAAATGGTTCATTCATCTACACAAACTGGGCACATTCTCCAGCTCAACCACATATAAGGGCCTAGGCCAGCAACGGGCCGCGAAAACAACGTCATTGAACAAAAACTGGAGAATATGCATTTGAAATAGGCATAATATTCCATCGCGCAACTGTCTGCGCTACAAACACAGACACACTTTCACATTCTCCTTAAAAA